GTCACACTAATCTAACATTAGACTTGAACATGAATATTTCTCCTGCGGCGACTCTCGTGTTCACCAGGCCTGTTCAGTTTGTGTATGTGTTTTTATGTGTATGTGCAGTCCTCTGCAAGAGCTCGAGGCGCTTTCGATGTTTAGATTGTTATCCATCATGGGACAGCCTACCTGCCAAATACCATGAAAAACTGTGCAAGTGTTCCATGGAGAAATGTTGATGCATACTGAATTGTTTAAAACTAGAATTAACATTAAATGAACCCTTTTTGCTTCATTTCATTTCTGTTGTCAGTTGTGAATCACTAGAGGTCATTTGTATTGTACACAATCCACCATTTATTTTATTTAATCCTAATTTGACCTTCAATGGATTAAAAAAACTACTACTACTGTAATTCTAGTCCCACTACAGACTATTAAATGCCTGTTTTACCCGAGCATGTTCAAAGAGAGTGGTTACCTCTAAAGCACATTTGTTACATCTTTCCAAAGCCATCACTTGTATTGCTGTTTTGTCTCTTTAAGGTTTTTTTTGTTTGTTTGTTTTGGGGGTTTTTTGCTGAAAGCCAACAACACACGAAATATCACCTGTTTTTATGCTATCTGAAACGAGACAAAAACAGGGCCATGGCATACAGCTACTAAAGGCACTGGGTATTCACCTCTGGATTAATTAGGCTGTTGCCTTGAATCACTGTAAACATGTTTAATGTTCATCTATCCAAATGAGATCTCAGCAGCTTTGAAAACGCCTAATGACTCACTATACTTCAAGGTATAGTCAAACTCTGATTTATGCTGTCATAATTAATCATGTAAAAAGCCTCAATATAGGGCAAAGATGGTGAAGTGATCATGGTGACTGTCAAAGGGTTCTTCTTGTGTAGCCTAAATAACAGAGAACATTCAGTTGGCCTTAGCTGCTTAACAGAAAGCAGTTCCATTAAAAAGGAAAAATAAAACAGCAGAAATTCATTAACTCTTAAATGCTGAACAGCTGGTAATGGGTAATAGTAGGCTAAAGAAAAATAATAATGTTTGAATAGAAGTTGAAAGAGAATGTTATTAACATGACACATATGTATGTAGATAACCGATATGCTATGAGGACTTACTACAACACAGCTTCTTTAAAGATTACAAAAATAAGAGAACTTGATAAAGTGGTACACAAACAGACAAGAAACTCAAAGACAGGTGGTAAGAAAAGAGTCTCTTACACTAGAGAGAACAACTGTTTCTCTCTTTCTTGCAAGTTTAAGTTGTGACCAACAACATTATCATAAAGAACTTGAACAAAAATTACCATAAGTCTAGTGGGAGTCATAACTTTCTTTTTTTTTTTTTTTCTTCCCCCCCCCTTGATAGATTTGAAAAGCAATTTACAGGCAAAATTGATTGATCTTTACTGCACTTTGCAGGCCCAATTATCATAGGTCCTTTTTGCAGAGTCAATAAAAGGAACTGAGCCTTCCATAAGTTGTTACAACCTGAAATCAGAAAACATAATCTGTCTTAAAGTAATGTACAATCCATGTTGTAAATGTTAAAATGCATTAAACTGGGAAGCCAAGAAAATTTCTACCTAAGATAAAGAGCGACTATACTTAGTGTTCTTATGGTATCCCAAATGTTTCCAACAATGTACAAACTCAGAGAAATCTGTAATTTCAGACAGTGCTGGGATTCAATTCACCACAGCTACAGTAGCAGTGTAGGTCTAAAGTTAAGGTCAGAATTAACATGACATGGTTCATATTAATTGCAGGTATATCATTAGAATTAAACGACATACCATGAATATATGTGACTAAATATAACATGAAGGAAATTTGAATTGATCACCTGATCAATGAACACAATTTCTTCCAGTCATGTCAGACAGATTTTCATCAGTGGTGAAGACAATAATGACAATGATCCACTGCGACTATTTCCTTTGTTACTGTTTTGACTGAGACAGAATTACAGAATCAGCATTTAAGTTCTACATTACTTTTTTAACCCATCTACCCTAATAAATAGGCTGTCTCCTGCGCGGAATGAGTAATGCTTCTCTACAAATGCTCTGATACACTGCAAACGCAACATTAGAAACGTTAGAGGGACATCCTCTCAGTTTTCTCTCCCCAGGCAAAATGGTTCATTTTTATCATTTAGGACGCAACATTTGTATTGCTGTCACTACTATTTTTCTATTTTTATTTCGCTACCAATCAATCTATTAAGTATTTTATTGAATAAATACTCCTCCAAAAAAGTAAAATGACTATTTCATCAGTTAGTTTTATTGTGACAAACTGTGCATTCTTGTACAATTCAGCACAGTGTAAAATGTAAACAAAGGTTTATATTAAGTGCAAAATTGAAAATTTAAACTGGAAAGTTATGACCAAAAAAAATTATATAAAAAGATGGCTTATTATTTAGGTCAGCAGTGAAATGCCAAAAGAAAGTTTCAAATAAACTCCCTTACCAAAATGAAAGAAAAATGAGTGAGTATATTAGACAAAGCTTGCAGCAGCTAAAGCAATTCCTTTTTTCCTCATTGTGCAGCTGTTCTGAGGTAGTAGCTTCAAATTCTATCAAAGTTCAGCTGAATTCACAGCGCAGCCTTTTTTTGAACTCCTACGTATAATTAGTTTATTAAACAAGGTTGCAGTTATAGAGGATTTCAACTGTGCAGAACAATAGCTTGAAAGTTGGTGCTGGCTAACATTTAGTCTCAGTGGGCTGCGATTCAATCACTATAGTTTACTTGTTCTGTTGTAAAATATGTAAATGGGGACTGCTGAATAGGGAATTCAACGCATTTTCAGCATGGACATCATCGATTATGTTTGTAGCAGAAGAGCAAAGACTTGGCACCAGAGTACGGTCGTCAGTGCGGTTGCATTTAATTTTCTTCTCTCAGAAATGTTCACTCAAAAGTAAAAGCACTCATCAACACCTCAATTGATGTTTTGCCAAAAAATAAAAATAGAGAACAAAAGATGAGCCTTAAGGATATAACAACTGTGAATATAATGTCAGCTTATTCAAATAAATTTGTTTTGCTCCTCCAAATAAAAGTTCTTGTCAACAAACTCTCCTCAAACTTTGAAAACATAAAAATATATATATATAATATATACTATATTTCCATTTATGCTTGATTGAGTTGAGGTCTGCTGAAAACATGGCCTCATAACTAACTGCTCCCAGTCACGATCCAAACTCAGCAGTTTGTGTACCGGGTGGCAGGAATTCCATCGGAAAACTACAGCAAGAGGCACAAACATCACGGAAGAATAAGGAAGTTTCAGGAGATATATATGAATATTTAATGAGGAAAACTGAGTGAGTACTGTTTCACAGTGTGTCCTTTTTAATGTTTAATGCTGATCCAGATGCCGCTGCTCTTAAGTGAGATGAAACATGATGCTACACGGCTGTGTTAATAAGAAGACAAGCCCACACGCACGTATGCACAGGAGTTCACTCGATGACACACAGCAGCGGTAGCAACTGGGTCCGACAGCACAACCAACCAGTCGAGCTGCTTCTACAACTTCCACTGGGACTGGAAGAAACGGCGAGGAAAAACAACTGAGAGAATAGATTCAAATCATGCGAAAGGTTTGAGTTTAGTCAAATGCTTCATGCTTTTGTTTGCCAAACTAAAATGCATTACCCATGAGCAGTAACAAATCAGGCAGCCGGCACACTGCAGAGCAGGAGTGTGTTTGCGTGCCCCCTCATATGATGGGTAGTGTGTTTCTTGATCATTGTAAAACAGAAATCATTGTGTGGATGTTTGTTGCTCTGGGTCATTACCTTACCAGAAAAGCACAATTGTCTGCTAGTGGACATCCTTCCTTTGTCCTCCCCAGAGAACACCTGTTTGACTGTCTACCTGTTTGCTATTTGGATCTGCCTCCATTATTCAGCGACTTAACGGTAGGGAGCGAAGGTGCACTGGTGTGTAGGGGGGTCTTGTGTGCCATGAGAGGAGCAGCATAGAGTTGTGACAGGTAGATAACACCTGAATGAATAATTCAAATTGGCGTAAGCTAGCTGAAGCAGTGACAAGACAAGAAAGAAAACACAAGATATGTGAATAAATCATCAGTGAAGGGACTAATAGACCAAGCATCAGGGAGGACAAAAGTGATAACATCTCGTTCTGCCTCCTGCTCTGGCTTTATTCATTCCAACAACCTTGTACATGAATATTCCAGATCTTACCAGCCATACTAAAGTGTGAAGATGTAGCTGTGCGGTGCTTTTTTTGTTTGTTTTTGTTTTTTTTATAATCCAGCATTACCACCAGAAAGACTTACACCAACCCACCATAAGACAAAACAACATGACAACCTCATTCAGCAAGGGCTGCTGGCTGCTAACTGGTAGTGTGAAAAGCATGTGTAGCACTACACGTGTTGTGTACTCAGACAGTGTTGAGCCATATTCAAATATTACTGTTTATCAGTCCTCCATTTATCTGATATTGAGAGTAGTGCTGTGGTAATCCTAGTATTATTTTTGCCTCATATCTTCCACCAGTATTTTCAAAATCACACTGGTATAGCTTTGGAATAGGGAACTTCTGCATTCTACTTCATTTAGCGTCCAGAAGACCTCCATGAATGCTTTCATCCCTGGAACCACAACATTATTTGTGGCCACAGTACCACAGTCATGAGCTGGAGCTTTAAGACGGAGGAGAAAATGAAATGGAGAAGAAAAAGCAGCTGCCAGGTAGAAACAGATTGTACAGAATTAAAGAAGAGTTTGGAAAATGTTTTTAAAAGTAAGATTCTGTGAAAGTAAAGCTCATTGAAACAACAAGGAAATAAGTAATAATAGGGCTAAGTCATATATTACGCACAAATGTTCAATTGTGAGAAAGCATCTGCCACGGGATGACTAACCAAGTCTTCTCAGAATACTAATGCAGCAGTCTGTGAGATGAACATTAAATGAATAAGTATAATAAAAGGTAGGGAGAGTCTTACCTGTTCTTTGTGAGCCAAAAGTAAAAGCAACTCTGTTCAGCAATTCAGGTTTTGCGTACTGATTCTCATCAGCCAGCACCCAGAAACAGCCCTCTGACATTTCCTGGGGGCGAATCTGAAAACACAAATCAAGAGTTCAAAATTTTTAGTTATCATAAGATTCAAACTGTTAAGGTTATATAGATATATATGGGGGGAAAAAAAACTTCACTTTAAATCTACAAAAGAAACACATAACACAGAAAGAAAGGGTGGCAACACAAAATGTGCAAAAAATAAAATGGAAAGCTGGTGATAAATATGTTAATTAATTTGAATTGCTTTCAACATTAATATACAATGAAGTATTGGCATTGCTGGAAAAATAAAGTAGGAATCAGATGAGTTTTTAACCAGTGAAGCCAACTATAACTACAAAACAAAAGGTCAAGTGTTGTGAGAAAATAACAAAAGATATTTTAAAAAGTAAACAAATTTGTACTGAGGACACTTTTAATTTAAATAAATGTCCACTGAGGATTTGTTTTCAAACTAAGGCCCACTTTTTCTCTGCACATTTACCTAAAGGTCATCACTGCCAGCAATCAGCTCAAACAAGGGAAACTGTAGCCAATACACATTTTTGTACATATTGTTTTATGGACTCAATGGACCAAAATCAGGCAAAAGTGCTTGCTAATTATTGGTCTTCTAGTCATACTGGAGGCGGCTGAAATGAGACACTAACAGGATGCCTGCACGGCCCTGTAACTGCTAGATGTCTAAGCGGACAACCAGTGGCAAAGACACAGTACAGTAGTTATTAAGAAAGTGACAAACAAGTAGTGTGACAAAGTATTGCTCAGTTGTTTACGGGCAACAGTTGGAAGTTTGCAGTCTTTTTACTGAAGAAGTTTGAGAAAACAGCTTTGTCCCAAACATAACCATATGTGGAGGGGTCTCCCACAGCTGTACATAAGACAGGTCTTCTTCATGTCATACTAAAAGGTTCGCTTCGAATTCCAAACATATGGTTTAGTTTGTTGAACACCTGTACTGCTATAAATCCCAGATTGAATTATTAATCAAACCACAAACTAACACTCACTTGTGGTATGAACTAATATTGCTCAGCAGAGAACAACATCTGTAGCGGTACCACAGAGGCTGCTCTGACAATAGCATCTGATCATCTGTTATTTTCAATTATTACTGGCTTGGCACAAATGTAGAAAAGTTGTTGTTTAATTCTTTGAAAAACATCTGTACTGTTCAGGTGCTGCCAAAATACATCAGGAACAAAGTAGAGAGCTGAGAATAAAGGGCCACTATAAATACATGGCCTAAATTTTAAGTTTCTTGTCAAAAAGTTCTAGTACAAAACAATGCGGCACAGTGGAAAAACATGTCTTTTTATACGGTACATCACTTAATATAGAAATCTGTAAAATGACTGGTTATGAGAAGCAATTTTGGAGGTATATTACACTGCATTTGTTTTATATCATGTCATCTCTGTGTACAAAAGCAGGGGTGGATAAATATTAGAAACACCGTGCAATGTCTTACTTTGGACCAGTTGAGGCGCTTTATGGAGGTCTGAGGCTTGAATTCCTTCTTTGGCCTGAGGCCATAAGGCAGAGCGCGGTGGGTGGGAGAGCCGAGACCACCTCCAAACCCTGGGGGAGGTGGCGGGGGGGCACCGAATGGAGGAGGCATCCCAGGTGGTGGAGGAGGCGCAGCAGGGCAGCCGGGTAATGGAGGCGGCGGAGGGGGAGGAGGGGGAGCTGGCACCCCAGGTGGTGGACCAGGGGCTGGAGGCCCAGGTGGGAATGCTGAGGAAGATAATGCCTGTCCAGCCTGGGCAGAGGTCAGAGCCACAGGTACGGCCCCAAACTGAAAAGGCAGGTAGAGGAAATCACGTATGTGGGGAAGTGCACATAAAACACAAAAAAAGAAATAAAAAAACAAAAACAAAAACAAAAAAAACAAGCATGTTATTCAAAATGTGACTGCTGAGGTTTTCCTCTCCAGACACTAAACAATTACTTCATGACACCAAATGGCAGCCTACAATCAAAGAAATGATCTTGTAACAACAGCATTGCCAGTTAAATGCTGAAGATGCCATGTTGACTGCCTTGGAGCGAGACACTTAAAGATAAAGCTGATGTTATTTTTTTATTAGCAAATCTCAATCACCAAATCTTAATGCCTGTTGCTTAAGGCTTAATGCCAGAATTTCACTTACAAATTCAAAATCCTAAAGTGTTGCAGTTTATTTTTTGTTGTGGTCTCTTCAGGGATTTTATTTATAATAAAAAGATAAGACCAACTGCTTTGCTTAAGTTCAAAATGTCACAAACAAGTAGGTACATGTACTGTGAAACCTACATTAAAGGAAATTATATAAATTTACTTAAAATCTATCTGGACTTAGTTTTGATATGAAATTATTACTGGACACAGGCAAATTTCAACTTTCCTATCACTGCAGTATCAATTCTTTCATGTTCCTTTATGTGGGCAGTATTAAAAGCCACTTCTATACAAATTTAATTCTGGAAGGAAATAAATTATCTGCATTCAAGGTCCTTGACCAAAAATTGCATTTTTAAAATGTCTATAAAGCTACCCAGGCTCAGTTTTTCAAAATTAATTTAAAGGTCAAATAATATTTTTCAGTAGCTTTCTTTGTTTTTTGTTTTTCTAGTTTTCACAAATGGTATTAAATTCTTCTTATTTACCTCATCAGCAGATTGCTTTCATGCTTGATTCAAGTGAATATTACTACACAGAACATTTTGCTTGTTTCTGGTGGGGAATATTTACAGTGTGGGGAGCCGTGGTAAATAAAACCTTTCTGTAAAAAATAAATAAATAAACAAATAAAACAATAAACAGTGGATTCACGTGTCAAGGAAAACAAAGAAAAATGACTTAGACAGAAACAAATGGGAGTAGACCAACTAAAGCAACTGCCAAGTGGGTAGCACACAGTATGCTTTCCTGTCTAATACCATTGTGCTATGGATAACGGAGGCGTGTTCTCTCAACCATCCAGCAAAGGCCAAATGCTCATAAACAGTCCAGATTCTGTTCAGAATGTATCCACGATGATTTGTTTTTTCCAAAGCTAAAAATCAAATGTTATAACCAGGCCTACAAGCTTTGTAAATTGTATCATACAGAGCAAATGGCTTATTGATCCCTGCACCAGTTTTAGATTAAAGACACACACTAAAGGTCAGCTGTGGGCCCTTACTCTGCCACCGCCTCTATAGGGAAGAACACCTTTGCTGAATTAACAAGTGTGCATGCGAGTGTGTTGGTGAGAATAAGACTGACATGCCTGACAAAGACAGAGACAAAGTGGGTGTGTATGTACCTGCACTGCTAAATGTACCATCACAATTCAAACCAAGGTAGTATTTGAGTATTCATTCTGTGTTTGCTCTCTCAAATTGAAAAATTATCGGGAAAATAAAAAGGAAGTTCTTTTCCCCTCTCTGAGTGTGTAGTTATCTTGCAATGCCAGAGTGTGGGAGCAACTCTCTAGAGTGCTTTTTTTTTTTTGGTGGTGGAATGTGGGGTTGAAGAGAGCCCCAGTAGTGAAGCTGAAGGGGTTGTCAGAATAAATTGCTTTTAGAACAATTTCCTCTTATGGGATAGAGATCAGAGAATTAGAAATGGCCAACATGGAGGACCGGTCAGTGTTCTCATTAGACTTAGTGTCAGCCAGCCAGTAGAGCAGCCTCCACGTCAAACGAAACTGCAGGCTCCAGTGGATAAAGCCCCTCCCCACTCGATCCTGCTCCCCCAAAATAACAAGAACGTCTCATAATGAAAAGGAAAAGAAAGTTGAATTGCTATTCTTTTTGCGATTTAGAGGGTTTTGTTGAGTAATCAAATCACAGTGTTTTCTTACATGTCACAACCCATACAGAATAAAAAAGTAATTTATACAAGTTGACAATGAAAACGTAGATAAACTGGAAGGATCATATACCTGGGACCTGAAGGCCTGTAGCTCTGCTTGGAGTTCAGCTATTTTTTCTTCACACTTCACTAGCTGAGCTTGTGCCTCCTGTCTGCTTAGAAACTCCTCATCAAACTAAAAGAAAGAAACACATGTCCACATTATTCAAACAAGAACGCACTCATATTAAAATCATGCAACTAGAAATTAAAATAAGCACTGCATGTTAAAGTGTAAGAGATTATTTAATTAACATTAATTTTACCTTGATTGCTCTCATTTACTGACTCAATTTCAACCTTTTGTCAGTGAGCCCTAATCAGGATCTATAACCTGCTGTTAACCTGGACTTTACCTGCTGACAGAAACCAACTCATTTGATCTCAAGTATTATGCAAACGTGCATATGAGAAGTGTTTTGTTTTTTTCTTAACCTTATAGCAAGTCACATCTGTCAACATGTATATATATATTTTTTAATCTGATCATTAAAACTTGACCTAAATATAACAGCTCAAGCTAGAGAAGACATTAAAAACTAAACAGAAATCATCAATTTTTGGTGCAAGATGTTATGAAAAGAACAAGTTTCACTGTTAACACGCTGAAAAATCTAGGGCACATGTATAATACAACTGTTACTGACATTTTCTTTTTTCTTTTTTTTTTACGTTGCATTACAAAAAGGTCTGGTTTCCCTGACTGTAAGGAATCAGAACAATTTAGGATCAGGAGCATAGCATGATTTGTTATTTGATTGATGATTTGTTATATTATGTAATGCTCACTTTTTTTTTAAAAAAGTATTTTAATTGACATTTTCTGCTAATTCATTTCTCTAAATTTACAGTAATTCTTTATGTTTATGGTCTTGGGTTACTTTAATAGAAACCCTGAGGATTTGGCAGTGTTAGCTGTGCTTCACAAAAGTTAGGTTTTATTAACAGATGTTACTTTTTACAGTAAATTGTTATAAATGCTAGCATGTCACGGTTTTGTGTTATTCCAGTGGTGTAGCGGATATACAGTGGAATGAAAATCTAAGTTGATTTTTAGTCAATACTTGCCTTCTGTGCCAGTTCCGAAGCTCTTTGTTCGTACTCATCTGTTCTAGCTTTCTCCACACAAACCTCTGAAGACAGAAAAAAACTGAGTTTTTAATGAATTATCAATGCTTTGTTGAAAAATCTTTAATGTAAATAAACTACCAGGAATGTGAAACTTGCCTAAGAGGTGGCTGAAGTCGACATCTAGACGCTTGCGGTAACTGAAGTCGGGATCAGTGCCACTACGATGGAGCACAATTTGAGAAACGCACTCCTCGACGATCTTAAAGTACTGGGGCCTGGGAGTCAAGATAAGTGGGACAAAAAAAGTCAAGAAAGACACTGAGAAAAAGACAAAGGGGCGTCTTTTTGTGCCAGCGTAACAACCTCTGCAAGCAGCACTCCTAATATTAAGTGTTTTCTTGACCTTCAGATTTATTTTGTCCTGCTGTAAAGTAAATTAACCATTTTAATTATTCACTCGCCGTTCAGTAGATGCATTTAAATCACCTCTAAAAAATTATGCACAGCCATCCACTGTGTTTACCTTACATCACCTGCAAATGACACCCGGCCACTACAAAGCAACATAGCAACAGACACAGCAACAAAGTGAAATAGAGTTCTACAAACATCCGGTCAGTTATGCAGAAGACATCATATCACAGCAGCTGTGTGTCATCGCTTCCTTTTAACTGTCCTTTATAACAAAACTCGCATTGTTTTCATTTTATTAATGAAATGGTGAAAGTGATACTGTGTCATGTTTTGCAGTATTATCTGACCATTTACAAACTTAGATGCAGTGCAATTATCACTGAAACAGGGTCCGACTGATGTGGTCATCTAAACGGCTTCGACAACTTTTTTAAAGTAGTATGCTACAAGTTAAATAGAAAAAAAATCACACCGCCTGTTTCTGGCTGCAGACTTGTGGTGTTGTGTTTTTATGTTATGTCAATTTGCACCGTTTAGACAGCAATATAATTCCCAGAAGAGGTGCTTTACATTTGTTGAGTAGCTGCAATGCTTTCCTGTGATTGGTAAAGCTGTAACACAAAGTTTATGTTCTACTTCATTCAGCCTTCATTCTTGGAATAGTAATATTACCAACATGAGGCGCATGCTAATTTTACACAAGTTGAACTCCTTTTTTTCCTCTTCAGAACAACTAAACTTACAAGCAGCCACTGATATACCTTATACTTACAGCACAATATAAGCACTGTTTTGATGTTGCTGAACAATGGGGAATACACACCATCCTATTAGCAGTTGCTGAATAATTGCAGTTCAGTTGTGTCATATTGCTGTGTTGAACACACTAATCACAGAATAACCGAGGGCGAGCCTCAATAAGCGAAAGGAAAAATTATACTACAACAACAGATGACATGCAACGCTGGGAGCCACAGTGCTATTGCAAGTTAAAGAGAAAGTGTCTGTTTGATCTGCTCATTATCTTACAACAATGCCACTGAGAGGCCTAATCCCTTCTACACCAAATCATTAACTAATACTTTGATACTTACAAACGGTGATTAATTTGGGACATTGGATTCCACCTCTTCCTAAAATGATGCTGGGATTGGATCTGATAGTGTGTACCATGTCTATGACTTTGAGGATGAGCTGCGTCATAGTCTGAATGCAGACAAAAATATTAACAGTGGAATAAGGGTATGTGTTATTATTCTGTGATTTTGAGACCCATGGCCAAAAAAAAAAAAAAAGAAACCTCTTGTTCCTCGGTTGTTTGTCAGAGCTGCTGTTTCTGTGGTGAGGAGCAAAAACAAACGACCCATGGCAAAAAAAAAAAAAAAAGGGTTCTATATATCCTTGACGTCAAGCATTCCAAGAGTACAATAACTACAAATTACTGCACCAGTCAGTTCTAAGATATGCAGTGCATTAAAAGGATCACATTTAGACATGATGCCTGATGTGCTCCTGGTGAAAATGAATGATGTCTAGAGCATGAAAGACCTGCCTGGGCAAACCTGGTGCAGGTATTATGAAGAAAAAATTTAGGCCAAGAAGAATTTGAAGAAATAGTTGGTGCTAAAGCAGATGGCACAAGGAAAATATCCACTGAACTAAATTTCTTTTACAACCATCCCATTTTTATGTAAAAATTATAGGGTATGTTCTAGTGATCTGACATTATGGAAAAAAAAAACACAGGGAGACCAAAAAGAGGAAAGAGGACATGAAAATAAAGAAACATCACAATGCTTTTCTTATAGTGTAGAAATAGTTAGTCCTAATTGTTTAAATAATAATAAGGATTAGTCATTTTTTCTCTCATCCTTCATTTTCAATGTCATCCTCTCACTATTTGTCCTTAAAATATCTTCTCCCAAAGCCGTACAAAACACATTTAATAGAGCTTCAACTTTTGCAATAAAAACACCTTCATTGTCCCAGTATCTTATCGCCCCGCAGAGCTGTGCTCAACTTGAATTTTGTTCTTTTCACATGTTTTTCATCATAAAATAGGGTGCATACATTTTCAATTTTGTGTGCAGCAACAGCTTTGTTCTCTTGAATAGAAATGTATCCCCCCTTCTTCTCTCAATCTCTTGGTGTGCATGTCTATGTAATTACACAAGTGTCAAAAAGCACAGCAATTTATGGCATATACAATCACATGTAGAGTACAGGCATCAGCTCAAGACACAAGCAGAAATCAAAGTAACATAGAAACATAGCAGAGAAGATTAAAAAAAAAAAAAGCTAGGGTCATGCTATGCGTAGTCCAACATAATGGTCTGGCTGCAGCTCACTACAAGTCTGCTCTAGGAGAAAATAAAATGCTCTGATTTGTTTGCATTTCTTTAAAACAATCACAGTCGTCGTGGGCGAAGCGAAGCGAAGGATTCTTTGTTGCTTCCTTTAAAATAGTGACGGGTGGAATTGTTGTGGTGTTGTTTGCATGCAGGGAGACAAGCACTGTGAATAAACGGGATAATCCACCCAAAAGAAGAAAAAAAAAAAAAAAACAGCAGGGCTGCCCTAGCGTATTCTAAATCCTCACCAAAACTTAAAATTAAAAAAAAATAATGTCAGTGAGTCAGACTACTTGTAAAAAGAGAAGCAGAGTTGCTAATGCTGATTAACGATGATCTCCAATCATCCATCCATCAATTATCTCTACACCGCTTAATCCTCATTAGGGTTGCGGTGGGGCTGGAGCCTATGTCAGCCGACTTAGGGTGAAGGCAGGAGACACCCTGGACAGGTCAACACCAGTCTATTGCAGGGCCACACTTAGAGACAGACAACCAAGCACACTCACATTCACACCTACGGACAATTTAGAATCACCAATTAACCTCAACATGTTTTTGGACTGTGTGGGAGGAAGCCAGAGAGCCCAGAGAGAACCCACAGGGAGAACATGAAAACTCCACGCAGAAAGATCCCAAGTGTCCTCACCGGGACGCGAACCGGCGACCTTCTTGCTGCAAGGCAACAGTGCTAACCACCGAGCCACCTTGCAGCCCAAAATCTGCATTTGGTAAACTGTTTCCTTTTTTTTTTGCACTTCTCTTACTGTTGATCTTTAAATGGCAAAAAAATAAAATAAAAAATGATACCACTCTACACATTTGCTCTACATATGGTGATGGAAGGCTTGCCAGGCCTTTGGTACTCAGTTACAGTTTCTAAGCTATAATGGGACACTATGATTCCGTTTTTGATGTAGGGGTTATGGAACGGTCAGCTGACTGAACTGCTACAGCAATAAATTCTTCAGATAGACTGTATAATGTGATATTGAATTCATGCAGAAAACGTAACTTATATCATGTTTAACTCTCACTGTAATCTATGTGGTTCAACAGGTTATCTTTTACAGGAAAAATAGAGAAGATTATGTAGTCAAGACACAGTTAGTGAGACGTGAACATCGGGCAGCAATATGTGTTTTTGTGTGGACATTGAACATGCCTTATAAAGTTACCAAACATACTGCACTGACTGTGGCAGTCACTGAAGCACCCGTGTTAACATTTCATAATGATTCCAGATGAACGTTAATCACACAGAACTAGAGCAGAGTAACAGACAGGTGTTGTTTTTGGGTGGGTGAAAAAACTGCAGGTGATGCATTTCGTATTCTTCAGATAAAAGCTCCATCTTTTGATCAAGCTAAGGTTTAAGTCACACCCAACTGTGCGCGAACCAACATAAAATAAGCCTTTGAAAAGTACCATTAATAGGCGATGAGAAATGCTCTGGAGCCATGGTTGCTGTAGATGGCTTGGAGATGAAAGAGAAAGCATTCTCTTTGTTAACCAATGTCATTGAGAGGGTTTAAGGCAGAAGGAGTTATACCCCCACAAAACATAAGCTCTTCACCACAGTACATCATTAACAGGGTTCAAAAGGGCTTAGACCTTTGCATGTGTGGGCAAATTTATGTCAGTCATTATTATTGTCACATGGACCAGAAGTTACAGCACAATACTCCTCTGACTGAATCAAACACCTCCACTCTACAAAGAAAATAATCAATTTCATGAATAGAGCTGATTAAAAAAAAAGATAGTCCAGAGAGCCAAAGTCATAGTCATATAGAGGCAATGAAGGTGCATGAGGGAAGAGAAAAATGAATAAAATAAACAAGTAAAATGAGAAGTGAAAATCTGCTTGCTTCAATGCACTTCATATTATAAATGTTCAGTGTGCAGTGGTGATTTTTACCTGACTAAGTAGTCATTCCGTATAAGCATCAGGTGCTGCAGTATAGAGAGGAAATAGGGCTCTGCACTGCTGTCCTTCACCATACTCTGCACAATACTGAACACATCCCCTGCATCAGTGCAGAGAGTCAAGGACTCATACGTTAACGGAAGCATTGCATTATCACATCAAAAAAGAGGTAACTGGAAAATAATAAATAAATAAAAGAATTACGTATTTCTATTTTAACTTTTACCTAGACTGGATATCATTCTGATTCTGATTACCATTTCCAACCTACATTAGGCACATTTACAAGAAACAGACACTGAAATAGACTTTTGATTTTTGCATGCTTCTGTTTACAGTGATGAGAAGGATATTCCAGTTCACTCTTGATATCTTCCAGCCTATGAGAGAACTCTATCATGTCCTCTTCTTTGTGCTCTTCAAACACCTTCAGCTGAATGTCAAGGGCCTCGTTCCTGATGGTTATTAGTTGCTAAGGATAGACCAAGGTGGAAAAAGAACAAAAGATAAAACAGATGCAAAGAGATCAAGAATTAAGCAAACTAAATTAGACAAAAAGGTTCGAAACCCTCTATGACATTCACACCAAAAGGAAAGCATTTAAGGTCAAGTGAAGGCAAGGAGCTTATTGTAAGCCCCAGTATTCATCAAGATATAAAGGTGTATATCCTTTAATATATTTGTTTCCTTGGCAGCAACAGCAACATTGTTTACAACAGATAAACATGTTAGGTAGATATAAAAGCCAGTAGGTTGATTATTAGCAGAGACACTAGAAACTTTATTGGTTTCTGGCTGCTGCACAGACAGAGGACGTGCAAGCTCTTCTTTGTGTTTCATAAATTATTCGCTGGAGCAAATCGACAATATTTCACTGAAGTGGACAACTCATTTAAATATTAATACAAGGTGAGAGTAAGTTTGTATTGTGTGTGTGTGCGCGTGTGTGTGTGGTCATCTTTTGCTTACCGGCAATATCTCTTTCAGGCCACAGCGCATAAATTCATTTCTAATGTGCAGCCTGAAGTCCAGCTCATCAGGAGATGTTACCAGCGCATTGATGAGCTGCATGCATGCCACCTGCAACATGGAGGGTAAACAGAACAAAGGGAAAGAGAGGAAAGGAAAGAGAGAAGTGAGAGAGCGAACCAAAGAAAGAGATGACAGACGTCTTCTTCCAGAAGTTGATGAAAAGCAAGCTGGCATGCATTCTAAATGAGTTATGTCCCTTGGAAGCAAAAGACCATAACTAATGCATGTCTATTTTCTCCAGTCACCAACTGGGGAGGGGTGATTTTAATATTAATGCAACAACTGCAGACCCATACACACAAAACTGTCAATTTAAGGGCAAACTCGCTCTTTTGGAAGCTGTTTTTCAATCCCCCATGAGTTCGGTTTACTACACGGGGACCGCTGCATCCTGTGACTCTTCAACTCACTGGGCAAACACAAACAGAAAAATCAATTATTGATCAGTAAAGCAATCCACTCATGTGTGAAAAGAGGGTATGGCTATGCTAGATATTCAGATGCCTTAAGGATCATAGTCAATTTGGTAGCACAGGCTTACATGTTTCAACCCTGAATAATGAAAGACCTTTGTCTTAATTGTGCAACTACACTATGCTCATTACTAGGACTGGATTTTTAAAAAAAAAGATTTGTGAATTGAATTGAGATCTTTATTTGAATGTTCCAACATTGATTCCTTAAATCCTGACACTGATAATTTGAAGTAAAAAACTTATATAGATGATAACTGGATACACCTGGATGATAAGCTGATTCTGGGCATCTTGTTATTGTAAATATCGCATCAACAAGAAAGTGACTGAAAAACCAACCAGTACACACTGATCTTAACTCTGCATGTGCTTGCTGATGAAGATTTTGAGTGAACATTGTTGTGATTTATCACTAAAGTGGGTGTCTCCACTAAATTGAAGCATCTGGTACTGCCAGTCCATGTGTTGTAGCATGTGATAGCTGTTATTTTTCAAAGTATGTATAATGATGTTGCCATTGCACGTTGTGGAGTTCTTTCAGTATTCTTGCTCCACATGTGGACTTAAAAATAGGCATGTTTTAGTCTTTCTACATTCACCCAAGAAAAAAGTTAATAAACAGTGTTTAGACTATCATATGCACTTTAACACTTCTATTTTCACATAAACAGCAGTGTTACTCACATGGGGAAAGAGGCAAAACTGGAGGCTGAAGGCTAAATTCTGAGAAGTTCTTTGATATTTATTTGATGCAACTGAATAATCAAATTAAAACAAATAAATTCTGGACATTGTGAGTCAAAATTAATCAGGATATTCCTCCCCTGCATCTGTCTTATTCATTTATTCAACATCACATAGTAAAAGTAGAGCAACAGCTTATAGACTGCATCCAGTTTTCACAGAAAACAAAACAAAAAAAAACTATAAAACATTCATAACAAAACAACATTTTATAAGACCAGAGAATATACAGGTATTTAAGTGATTCCTGACTGGCTGTGATATGTTGAAGTGGCGAAGTCTACAGCCATTCTGTATGGCTTTCAGTGGAATCTGAGGGAAACAAAAAGGTGTCAGTGACTGTAAATGTACTTTACACTCACTTGTAATTGAACGGAGCGATCTCGTAGTCCTTGTACAATGGGACTGAACCTCTCAATGGCTCGCCATTCCCCTGCTGTGGTGATGGCTTCAAGGACCTTCTCCAGACTAAATGAGAACATGAAATGCATGAGCAAACAGCTGAGAAAGAAATGAAGTAATGCATTCTTTTATAGGGATTTCACCCATAAGCGCTCTTTCTTTCTATACTGTATCCAAGGTTCCTTGGAGTGAGTGAGTGACATTAGTACTTAGAGAAAAAAGGTATTACAGGCATATCTTTGTCTTACTGCTCTGTCAAGCTTTGTATGTTTTACCACATTTTACAATTCACCACAGTTGGCCTTTTACCTAAACTGATAATAAAAAAAAACATGATGTTATTCTCTGGACAGTCATTTTAAGCACAGCTTGAGAAAAGAGACACTTTCCCTTTTGTAAAAGGAGAAAAAAAAATGTAGCATTAAAAAACCAGTTGCTTGTTTTGGCATTTTTTAGAAGTGTAACTTTTTATTAGTGAGTAGACATGGAAACAGAGATCACATCTGTCAGCTCAGATTTTGACTTTAGTGCTATTTATTTTGGAACAATCCTTGAATGGATTAAAAAATAATTTAAGAAACCTATATTTTTCTGTTAAGTTTCAGACTCCCGCACACTGTCTAACTTGAAGAGATATATTTATCATCCAGGCGTTCCAATGTTAGACCTTCATCAGGCAAATAGGTGTTAGACAGTGTGCTGGAGTCTGACGGAAACTTTTGGTTATACTCGTCCTTCTCCTACGCACCTGTCTCATGAAAGACATGTGTGAAGAGTTTCTTTGGTTTAGACTTTTTCATTCAAACATGCCACTAGAAAGTGAGAAGAGTATTGAAAAGACTGGAAGTCTTATTTAAATCTGAACTTTAACAATCTTAACTTCCTACTGTACAAAAGCCAACAGAACCAATTTCAAGGTAACAAAGGAAAACAAAGACCCCTTTCTCCCCAAAACCACTGTGGCTTTGCAGGATTCAAAACCATGGCCCATAAAGACCTATCAGGATAATGACGGACAAACAGACCCTTTTATATTTTACATGATGTCAAGTATTTCACTTTACCTCAGGTTACCCTTGGTCAGTTCACTTTTGTGTTAAAAAAAACCTAATGTAAAAGTAGCGAGCCATAGATGTGGTGACAGAATGAAAGACATACGTGTTCTCTTCGCCCACAATGCAGATGGCTGACAGCAGCTTCACCACGTCAGTCATCATGGCAGACTGGGAGGGATCGATGGCTCTTGCCAATAAAGCAAGACTCTTCTCCTCGCCCAGAATTCGATCCAAACCATACTGCAACAAAAAAAAAAAGAAGAAAGCATGATTACCCACATATTCTGTAATGTGGTGCATTTGCAAGAACAAACATACACTGTCACATTAAACATTTAAATGGAAATGCATTACCAAGGAATACAAGATAGAGTCATGCGCTATACATTTACCTGTTCTCCAAATATGTCTCAATGATCAAATGTTTGGCTGCAGCATATTTAGGCGATTTTAGTTCCTTCTATCATGCATTATATAGAACATACAATGAAAATTAGGGGTCTAGCTCAATGTATTGAACTCGGCCACTAAATAATGTGATTAAGGAGCAAAACCGTAATCTAACATTTTAAGAATCAATGTGCATGTGATTTTATTTCATATTTTTATTCTATGTAGTATAAAAATTGAACAGAGAAAAAACAATCTCGCAAAAAACACCATTATAAAAATTATTACTGCATTTATGCTTGTCAAAACTGGAATATGGTAACAATTTGGTACAATGAAGACCAGTGTCGACAACATTCAGAATAGTAACTGTTGTTGAACAGTGAGAATTTGGGCTAATATAGTGTTTGTTGTTCATTTCTACAGAGGAAATCAATTCAAATTGAAATGTCTGATTTAGTTTTAAAAAGAAAATGCTTTGGTATAAATAATACATCCAAATGGACTCCCTCTGTTACTGGCAATCAAAGAGGCTTTTATTTTACCAAACGATGGAGTCAGAAAATGATGGTTTCTTTTTACTCTTGGTGTTAGATTGGAAAAACAGTTTAAAAAGTGCTTTGTAGGTGTGCTAGTAAAACCAAGCACAACTGAGGAATCTAATCATGTGTTTTTTTGTTTTTTTTTTTTGGCTTCATACATTTCAAGAAGGCATTTAACCAAGCTTTGTGGCATTCAGATAATGTCCTTGGATTTGAAAAGCTCAATACAAATAGCTAAATTGTATGCTTACTTTGTGGAAAATGTCACATTTTTGTTGATTTTCTGTCATATTTCTGACTTGTTTTTTTTTTTGTAAAAGGCACATTTCCCTATCTTGAGTTTGGCTTCATGCATAAATGGCCTATACAATCCAAAGCTTCACAGAATGTACTTCATGACAAGAACACACTTCTAATGTACTGTGCCTTCTTCCAGAAAACATCAGTGGCTGCTGAATTTCCAGTAAAAAAAAAAAACAACAACAAAACAAAAAAAAATCAACTGTGTAATTTCTCTGCTGCTGTGATGATCCAAAAGGAATCAGAATCAGACAGGACACCAAACTTAAACTAGATAGAGGGGTAGGGTGGTATTCAGAAAACTATTTTTGTGATTTTAATAAACAAATGAAGCCTTTTGGATTATTTTAAGATCAGAATGCAATAAGGAAAGATCATAATAAAACATACATTTTATACAATGTATTCATTTTTTTATTTGTTCATCCAACTGCAGTAATAATAATTAAAACAGTTTATCAATTAGTTATCAAAATGGTTAGATAATTAGAAATAACAAAGTAATCTTGATTAGGAAGTCCAATTCAATTGGCAAAACTTTTAGTTAGCTACAGCCTTAGTCAGAACCAGTCCTGAATTCCCCGGAGCAGAATTCTGCCAAGAGACCCTTCTCGCTGATCCGTGAGCCCCGTAAACCATATTACACTGCCACACAGTCACACCTGGCAACCCCTCAGTCCCACTACAGTCCTCCCTCCTTTCCAACAACTTGCTCCATGTGTCAGACTGAGAATAAGTAGATAACAATACCAGTATTAATTCTATCACCTACATTGGCCTGTTTAAACTGACTCCCGAGGATTGAGTTTTACACATTTAAAATAATATTTATACTATAGCTTGGATGAATACTTGAATTTTATTACTGAGATGTGCATTCATTTTACCCAGTATGCCCAACTTCCACATATTCAATATTTAATCAAGAATCTATCTCATTTCATTTCTTTCTACTCCGCATTAGTCCAGAGTTTGAAGGAAACCTTGACTGAGAGTCTAGATAATCATTGTCTTGTTTGAAATTGATGTGTGCCTATGAGAAGTGCAATCAAATACATATATTGGCTGAAACGGTGACCGCAGATGTTGCTGTTGGAAAGCGTGAGTTTCATTTTGTGCGCGCGCGTATGAAAGGATGTTCAAAAGCCTTTTAATATCCAAGCTGTACTTTATAAACACCATTGCCCGTTGGCGTTAACCAAACATAATTAATAGGAGTATTTTACTCTCGGTTTTCTCGGGCACAAAGTCACAGAACACAACGCTGGAGGAGGCTGGCAAGCAAGCAAGACGAACAAAGACCAAGAGATCCTGCTAGGTTCGCGCCACAAACAGACTAGAGAGACGCAGATCAGCTTAACGTTACTGTAATTTACTGGCATCAACTTAAAAAAGGAGAGAACACAAGTTTACTTGATTGGTTTCCCACTATTCACCCACAATTCACATTCCGTTTTCCATCTCAAAACACCTAGAAACTAATTGAAATGAAACAGAAGTAGAAGCTCATAGATGTAGCATATATGAAACTAGATGCATATATTGTGATATACGCAGCACATCTACAGTTTACTGGGAGAAACCCTGTTCAAAGGACAATTTTACAGCATGGTAACTTTTAGTGTTGTAGTATTATGCCATTCGTGACAGACAATGGAAAATATGCAAGTGTGTAACTTGACACAGCAAGGCAGAAGAAGAAAAGGCTGCACTGACAGCTGGCAGGGAACACCTGTCTTCTTGGCATTGTGGGTACCTCCAGTCCCAAGATGCCTCTCTAGCCAGGGAAAGGTCTGGGCTGACAGAGAGGCCTACGGGTAAATGCTGGCGTCTGGCGCCTGTTGAGACGCAGGATTACACGAGACCTTACAGCACACTTTGTGCCAGCGGGGCTGTATATCTTTCTCCGCTGGGTTTTAGCTCCATGTGGCGAGATTTTTATTCCTCTGTAGCTACTCGCGGACTAACAGGACACAAGGAGGGAAAGCTGAAGCATTACGAAATAAAGCTACTTCAACAGAGCACATTTACAAGTGCTTAGGCCGAGGCGATGAGTCATTATAATTGTCTGCTAACCTCGAATACAATCATTTTATCACAATATGATCATATTAGTTTAGTTTTACCGAGTTCTGTTATTTGAATTAAACAAATTGCAAAAACAAACTAATTAAAAAACAACAAAATGAGGTATTAAAGTTTTGGGAAAATTTAAAAACTTTCACACTGACTGACTATGATAAAAGGAGTTGACCGCAAATAAAGTACAGTTTATCTGAAGAAAATTAATTTACTTAACATAATTGCAAAATGTCAGTTTGAGTTCAGCTTTGAACGTCTTTTTAAAATGCCTTGCTGTTTATTTTGCTTGCGTAGTTAATTTGTTTTCTGTGACACATAATTTGTGTTAAACAGCTGTGTGTCCGTTGTTCAAGAGTCTTCTCAGGAACTAAACTCATAACTTAAAGTCTGTTGTGCACAGTCCTGTTGAATTTTAAATGCATCTGAAGAACCACGAAGATTAGACAAATTGACCAGTGGCAGATTTAAAATGGCGGCTTTGCTTGAGATTCAATATTCGCACACTGCAAAACAACCACAACATTTGCACTGTTATGTGATTTGTGTTGCAGCACCTCGCTACTCTGAAACAATTAGCAAATAAGGCTGTTTCTCTTCAATACTCTGCTTTATTTTTTTTTCTTTTTGTTTTGTTTTGTTATGTTTTAAGGTTATTACTTGTGTTATTCTAACTGTATATCTCAATAAGTTCTATACAGGTATGTGAATTCCCATATACTGTTTTGTTATTGTAATGTACATATGCCTGACCTTATTTTTTCTATCTAAAATAAAATAAAAATTTGATCACAAAAAAAAACAATACTCTGCTTTTCCCTTACTAGACGTTCTTATTCACACCCTCACTCTCTTATACCTCATAAGGCCTCAGAGAGAACAAAAAGCTAGAATGAGAACATTTTGCAGGTCAGCAACCTTAGATAGTGTATTACATCCCAATTGTATCAGGACATTAGGAAAACTCCTCTCATTTGTCTCCATATTGCTATGATGATGCTCCTCTTCTTTCACTGGTACTAAACCCAGGTGCCTAATTACATAAAGCACTAGACGTGTACATGGGTGTGTTTAAACTGAAGGCAAATTTTCAAAGTTCTCAAGTCGGGGACCCCGAGCATTCACCTGCCTCTTATTATACAAAGGGTCATCAAAATGCAAATATCCCCAACTAGAATGAATATGAGCAATTAACGTGCTCACAGGCACGTGTCCTAAGACCATACACATTATTAGGATTAGGTAAATGAAGGCTTATTTAACTGGAAATGCAATTCTGCTTATTTAACTGAAAATGGCATTTCTCTTTTAACTGCCATAGTTTGGCGCACATAAAAGCAATAACATAGACAAAGCGTCGTGTCAATGGGCAACTTACTGTACAAGCAAAGTTCAGAAATATATGATTTGGCTTTACACCAAATATAAAACACTAGTGTCATTACCTTGTTGTTCATGAAGGCTTTGAGACACTGGACAACTTTATGTTGGTTCTTTTTGTCAATCTTCTCTTGCCTGGAGACACAAGAGAGCAAAAAGGAGCATTTAGGGTCAAACTTGCAGCATGAAGACGATTGAATACGAACTGTATACAGCGCATTTGTGTACATTCTCATATACAAATACAAATATACACGGACTTTGTCTAAAATTCACTCAGACAAATATAAATACCACTTCATTAGTTGTTTTTCTTGTTTGTTTGGTTTTTTTTGTCGTAAAATGTTTGATTTGGTATTATTATTTTGTCAAAATTCCTAAACAGGGTGAATTTAATCAAAACTACACAATTCAGATTTTTGTTTTTTTAGTTATTATTTACAACAGATACTATAAATGCACAAATAATTGTAGTGAAATAGGTAAGAGTTTGTGCAAGAACAAACACAAGTGAATGCAAAAACTTACTGTTTCTTAAATAGCAACCTCTCCAAAATGTCCAACAGCAGTCCAAGACCCTCATGCCCAAAACTCTGCACCCAGCTGAAAAAACAAACATTAAATCAATACCTCAACAGAGTAAGACTGACAACTGACAAAAACAATTTCATACTCATCAACCACCATGGAAAGCTTTAGACAGAAAATAAATAAATAAATAAACTTGTAGAGTTCCGTGCTTTGTACTGAGGAGAAAAGGAGCAGTAGTAAACAATGGACTGTATGCCTGATACAAAAAACTGAACTCAATAGTACACAGAGCGAAACAACAAATAGAGAGCACATTAACACAAGTAAAACTATAGTGTGAGTGAATGTGCCTGTGGGTTATGTTGGTGTTTCAACTGGTTCTATCTGTTTTTTAAAAAATGGTGTAAAATACATGTTTAGTATTTTAGGTCTGAAATTCCATGTTTGCTACACATTGACCATAACATATCCTTTAAGCTGACATACAGGCACCAACTAAGCCTAATGTATGTTGCAGAACAAAATGCGATGCTCTAACACAGAGACATAGCATTAAAAACAAGGTATTCTTGGTTGTTATTTTAGTCAACTAAAAATATTTCTGAGACAAGCAATGATGTTCTGACAAATCAATAAAGCAATATGCATTTGTTTAAATCAACCCAAAATTCAGCTTAAAGAACATATCTTCATAAACAGTAACGGCAATGAGCCTGTGCGACCTTATTTGACAGAAATCTATGCATTTTCCAACAAAACCGGTTTAAAAACACATAAAGCCTCTTTGTGGGGTACCAGAAATTCCCCTATGCAGGAAAAAAACCCTGAGCTTGATACAAAGGCACTGAACCTTTGAGAGAAAAATATAAAATGACAAAAAAAAAAAAATCACAATGCAGAGAAAGAAGTTTAGGGCCAGGGGACAGAATTAGATTCTTATGGAAGTTATATCTGAAGCAAGTGACATTTATGAGTTGCATCTCTCCAAAGGAGGTTAAGCAAGTTCACACCTCTCCATCAAAAAATGGAGGGAAAAAAAAAAAAAACCCTACAGAAAGTTCGACTTTTCCTGCCGTTCTTTATGTGAATTTAGACACATCTTATAGAGAAGGTGCCTTTGGTGGATCTCACAGACTGTTGCCTGTGATTAAAGAGTAATATTGAAAGCTTAGAACCAACATATAATATAGATTTATTTTTCTTTTAAAGGGCACAGTTCTCTACACAAAGAGCCATCCTTTGGAAATGGCGATGCTGAGTGTGTCTACGAAGAGATTCAAACGAACAAACCAACTTCCTAAACGTGACCTCAACTCAAGTATACAAGAGTAGACATCAGGAATATCAGTAATATTAGGGAATAGCAAACAGATGTCTGAGATACATAGGAAAGTACAATGTTATCACCACTGTGATATTAATATGTATTTATTAAATGGAATTTTTGGCTTTCAGGAGATAAAAACAACAGATACAGGGACCAAAAGCAGCAATAACTTTCAACACAGAAGTCTTACTGTGATTCAAATAATCAATCAACCAGTCGATCAGGCTGTATTTGAATAGCACTTTTCATACAAATAGAATGTAACACAAAGTGCTTTACAGAACAAATAAGGAGTGGAAAAAAGAACGCAATATGCCTTGGCAGAAGTTGGATGAAAACCTTTCGGTATGCAGAAAACAGATTCTAAGAAAACCACGAGCAAGACTATGAGCAACTGCACCTCCCTCTTGACTGAACCTGAATAGCTTCTCTGAACATTAGCATTCACACTTGCTGCTCTAATCAACAAGCTGCATGCCTCCCAGCATCAAATCTACAGAAATTCTCAAGGTGACAAGATAAAATGAGAAGCTGTTATCGGAATTTAATTTTTGAAAAAGAGTAGTGTGCACCCATGAGTTCATGTATCTATTGTTACAATGTTGGGTGTGAAATCACAAATTTGATTTATTTTGCATTTTAAAAAAACTGTAGGAACTCTAAATAATAAATATTCTACCACCTGTTAATTTGTTTGGTCATATTTAATTTGCATCTGCACTGATCACACAGAAAATGGCTGAATTTTCTTCCAGCCACAATAAAGTATCGGCACTAACAATGATTTATTTGTGTTTATTAGTGACACCATATATCTAAGTGTTGAGTGTAAACATCACATTTGTATGTGTATGGCATGAACTTAGAGGATAAAAGCACATGGACTTTAAATTTGTAGGATATATCACACCTTTACATATAAATACAGCAAAAGTCTCAACCATCTTGTGCACATATTTCTATACAAACAACCTCATAATTTGAATGAGAAATCTCACCTTTGTGTCCACACTATTACCTGTAAGCTAAATGTACTATTCTGCAAAAAGTTCAGGGCACATGCTGCTGCTTTTGATGTATCAGTGAGGCCATGTCTTGAAAAAATTATGCAGAAAAAAAAACTTTCACTATCCTGGTAATTGATTTAGCCAAGGTGAGCAGTGTACAAGGCAAGCATAGCATGTCGTCACAGCGTATTTGATGGTTAAACTAGTCAAGGGCTTCCATTGTACAAATAAATATAAAACCTTGAAATTCCCCTTTCACAGTGATTTAAGCATGCACACTAGCAGTGAAAGGTTAACTTAAAATCAAAGTAGTTATGAAAACTTGTTTTTTTTGCTTGACTCCCTTCAAGCATCCACAAAAAAATGAAAACCCCATACCATCATAGTATAGCTATATGTGCGTGACAGGGTCAGGAAAATGAAGAAGGTTGGCAAAAACTGTCAATGCCCTGCTAATAAAGAAAGGGAAAGCTGCTAAGGTAGCTAAGAAAAAGGCTCTAATGTTTGGGGAAAGAAAAGCAGCCCACCCTTCTGAGTGGGCTAGGGGTTTTGTCATTCTGGTTTTAAAGTAGGCAGGCCAGAGGTCTTTACAAGAGGTCCACTGAAATGCATAGCTCAGTGGCAACTGCATGCTAATTTTTCATCAATAGTTGAGTCAAAGCAGAGAAAAACAATCAGCTGATCTATAACGGGAACTACTGCAGGGGAAACCAACATGCCTGCACTATCAGGGTCTGCTGCAACAAATTTGAAAGACGTTTGCCTTGAAACAAATGACAGAAAAGAGGAACACGATAGTTGTGGCATAAGTGAGCTTTCAAAGGCTTTTTGAAGTTTTTAGCTTTTAGAAATTTTGGAGATGTCAGAGGACAGAAAGAGACAATGTACTAGTTTTTAGAGCAAAAAAAACTACACAAGGGAGAGACAATATTTCATGTACGGAGTGTTTCTTTCTGTCCTTACTGAAGGTCAGGGAGAGAAATAAAGCAGGGCAATTTTATTTATCGTGCATGCTGTGCTAAATCACAGTGCTATTATACTTATGTCTTTTTGCACGGAGAGAACTCACCACTTTCACACGCACATGGTACAGATTAACTGACAACAGCTACAACATAAGTGCTCACGCTGATGACCACTTATGTGACAATTCCAATAAAGTCTATTCAAAGAAAGAGAAAGGCACCAAAATGCACAAAAAATGGAGTCTAAGAAGTCTGGAAGATGCAGACATTACAGTCTGTCTGCAAACTTGTGTTTTTCACAGCAGTCTAAAGACTACAGGTTGAGCCGCAACATGTTAAACATCACTGCAATAGTAAACTGATGTTGTCACAGTAGTTGTTTTGCAAATCAGACATGGACTGCAAGATGGCTGACCAAAAATCCTGAATTCCCAGAAATCGCTAGAATTCATTTTGGCAATTAATCGGGCATCATGACCCCCCAGAAACTACAACCATTCTGGCAGAAATTCAACCCAATATAATTGGTCGTGGGTGACCAATTTAGGGATAAAATCCAACCAAATCCGTCTGTCTGTTTCTTTATCCTTGTGCAGTTAAGTGGTTTGTATTTGACATGCTGTCTGTCTAGACTTTAAAATGATTAAAGTATTTTATATTCTGCTTGCTAATCTAACATGCTCTGGCAGCCCTTGGGTTTCATTAGTTCCTAACATCTGGCACCCCTCCCACACCCCAAATGAGAAAACTTCAATCATATTCTCTGCCTAAAATGTCCTCAGTGTCTGGAGCCGTATTGTGCAAAAAAAGCGTATCTGAAAAAGTTTCCACAATTTTTGTCGGTGCAGAGAAACTGCAGCACTCATTTGTCTGATTGCTACCTGTTCACATTGTGACTGTCTTTACATATTTAGTATCACACAGAACTGCGCAGCACAGTTTCATAGCACGGCATGGCCTGGGCTACCTTTGGTTTTCACAGCATCATCATTTGTCACGATTTTTGATTAGTGGTGAATGTCGAAGATGAAATCATCACTCTTAACACCACCTCAAATGGTTGGCTGGTTTTGTTGTTCTAAAACCAGAACAGTATTAATACAGAATACCAGCAGAAATATGGTTGTAGTAGCAGCAGTCCATCTGAAATTCACACTCAATTTTCTGGCTGTTTTCTTTTCCTTGTGTGAACACCAACTTAAATTTCTTGAAATGTTATCCTAGATCATAGATCAGTCTCCCAAGATATGGACGAGACACTGTAAACCAATTTCTTTTTTTTTTTTCTTTTCTTTTTCTTTTTTTACATGCAATAAACAGTAATTGTTCCTCACTCTGATATCAGAGGCCAACTGTAGTCAGACCTCATCAACATATGCAAAATAAGTGCAGCAATATTGAGCTGAGGACTATCATCTCACAAAGACACCAAGAAACAGAATGAGGGAGAAAGCAGTTTAAAAAAGAGAGAGAGAGAGAGAGAGAGAGAGAGAGAGAGAGAGAGAGAGAAAACAAATTCATCATCCCATTCCCAGGGAAACAAAAACAGTCATAAATCAAAGAGAAAAATGAGGCGCCTTATCTGGCTAACTTCACACCTAAGGTAGCTTGACTTCTAACGGAGTCTCAGGAGAATGCCTCCAAGGTTCCCAGGCAGTGTAGCGCAGCGTTGCACTCCACTAAAGCAGTTATGAACCAGAAATAAAAAATTAACTTAAAATGTTGTCCCAAGCATAGCAAGTTAACTGACTACAGGAGGGCTCTCTAGGGACAGAAAGAGGAGGCTGAAGTCACAGTAGTGTGGGACATCTGAAATAAAGGAAAGGTCATTTCATATAGTGAGCTCTGAATTACGTCAGTCTAGCAGACACAACAACCACACACTGCGTCTAAAAACTAGGTAAGTTTCCAAAGTGTCTCGCATGGTAACGTATTAAAAATATGAAAACTATGGGATTTGTGTTGATGCAATGATGACAATTTCAACACATTTGTGAAATAGTGTATAGAATTTTATATTTAACTTAAATATTAACAATAAAAATTATAATATAATTATAACTGTTTGCCAAATCCCCCAAATGAAAGGCTTTTAGAGAAGATTCAGGCTGTACCTAAGCATGCACATTGTACCTTTTATAATTAGATCATTAATTTGCCCTTTTCAAATTCGAAAATTCCAAATTACAATTTGCACCATCAAAATCATTTTTGGGAGGAAAATCTTAATTAGTTAATATTTTGGTGGCATAAAGCAGTGGTGACAGAAACAAATGATGTTAAAAAATAAATATTAAATAATTATATGTATTAATAAAACCATGGAAAACATTGTCTCCTACTTTAACATAACATGGATAGGAAATAAAACATTGCTGTGCGTGTTGTTTTAAAAATAAAAAATGCACTCAATGCTTACCATATTAGATACACCTGTAAATATAATGCAATCCAGTACCGTTCAGCCATGAATTCAGCCTTTAGAAAAATAACCTGACACTGTCAAAGTGATACTAATTTAACTAGATATTTATTATTGAGGCAGTAGTCGTGCCACACTGGAATACGTTCTCCTGAAATGAGTGTCTGATATTCTTCACACTCTCCTGTTTGTAAATGAGGTGGGCAATACATTAGAAATACCTGGCAACATAAAGCAGTCCATTTCAACATCAGTACAAATGTCACCCTAATAATAAATATGCATTTAAATTACTATTTCTATGTCTGTAATTGGTGTTCAGTTTTGACTGATACTACAGTATGATACTACAGTATCAATCAAAACTGAACACTAATATCTTTGTAAAGGACAAAGTACAGCTCATGTCTGATCTGTTCTATTAGCTTGCATGATATTTTCTTGTTTTTCCCAATTACGTGGCCATTGAGTGTATAATCAACTAATGAGAAAAAACACAGGCATTTTTGGGAACAGTTTGTATCATAACAATACTATCAGTATAATCAATTGAAGGAATTGTGAATCTTTATGTGCAGTTCATGGGTGGGAGGTGTATGTCGGGAGAGCATTCAAGGTTTCCCTTACACATTCGTGTAAGGAAGAGGGATGTTAAACTTTCCCCCACTGTATAGTCAAACTGAAAAAAATAAATCTGGAGCCTTAAACCTGAAGGTCAGTTTTAATATAATATCAAAAACCAATTTCCACTTGTTTGTCAGATCCATTTATCAAATCCGTTTAATACAATTACATCTTGTAGCCTTGCTGTTCCTGTGGGCTCGTACTGTGGCCTCTCTTCACAGAAAGCGAGAGAGAGCCGGCGCAGCTCAGGTGGATAAGGTACACCGGAGTCAGAGGCGAGCATCACAAGGTGATGCTCCAGAGCTGCAAGAAGTTCCAAATTACCTCGAAGTCTCTTTGCTCTGCCAGAAAGTGCCTGATGGGGGAGCATATAAGTCTGTCAGCCTATACTAGTGGGATGCAATCACTGGATTGAGGAAATGTGTGAGAGTTGCTTCATCAGTGCCAAGAAAGTCACACTGATCAGCATCCAAAAACAGTGGCAGACAAAATGCCTTTACTGCCAAATCAATCCCACAACTCAGGACTGTAATGGCGCTGTTAGATAGCTAGGGGTTACGGCTGTCGGCCCACTGTTTCTAGCCAAGGCAGATTTATGGTCCAGTCCAAACTGTGTCATTATTCATGAGCCTGGCAATCTGTTTTATCAGTGGTGACTTCATCGAAGTTCAGTGCCTCGCAGCGACATTTTCCTTGAGGATCACACAGTTAAGGTTCCCATAAACAGAAGTGTGTATGCATACACTGTTGTTATTCGCATCAGATTATGGGACTGCTGTGACACCTGATGTTGCAAGTCGTCATGAACACAAAGATTTAACTAAAACGGATTTGTTGTGCAGGAGAATTACACCTCTTTGACAGAATCTGTGCAAAACCATCACAGTATATGCATACAAAGGCAGAGGCTATTGCTGAATTGTTGAATTGGCTTTTATTTGCTTAAATAGAAGTCAATGACTTTAAACTGCTGCCCTGTACAGAATAGTTGAGAAGTTATACATCCAGAGTTCTCAGAGCTATCAGGATTTCCCTTACCATTACAAGAGTGAAATGATTGAACATGGGGAGAAAAAAAAAAACTGCTGAGGGTTCCCTCCAGCTCTGGAGAGAAAGAATACCATATTACCTTGAATGTAAGTGGAGGTCATCCTATATTTGCTGAAAAGACAATTGCATAATCAGATTTTTTTTTTTTTTTTTTGTTGAATGAAGAGTTTAACAGTAAAATGATATTCTTCTACATAGGGTATTGCCATGTGGGTTCTTTGCAGTTGTAATCTTGCTTGAGTAACAAGTCCATTCATAGTCGGTCTTTTGCAGTTAATCAGCCCTAAAGGTGTTTTGTTAGCCCATTTTAATTTGCAATAGTTTGTGAAGGCTCCTGTAATGTGTTTTTCTGGGATAGCATAGTATAGTGCATGATGCATTCTGTGTAGATACAGACAGATGACCAGAGATGCTGTGCTACATCTTTATAAATCACACGCTCTGAGAGACAGTGTGAAAAATCTTAAATGTCAAAGAAAATGATTCTGAGAGAGAAGTGAGTGAGAGAGTACTCTTAGTGCTACAGTAACTGACTTAGATGGCCAGTGCCAACCCCCTCCAAGAAAGTGACCTGGCTACAGACTTTAAATGTAACAGAAAGTTTACCAAGTAGAATTTTAACAGACAATGTTCTAAAATAATGTGAAAATGCATAGATTTGGGTCAAATAACTTTCATGGGTATGATCCCTACACTCGTGAGCAACACCTAAAGTAGCTAAAGGCTGGAACACTCCTAAATAACACTCTGTTGGGTAGATGATCAGCACATAATAATATGAAAAGTTTATTAATGTTTCATTAACAAAGGGAAACTAAAGGGAAAAACAATATACATATTTAATAAAACATGACAAATTTTGGTGATCCCATCATATGGTATGTCAAGCTGGGTAATTGTTAAGAAACAAATTACAAAAGAGACAATAGAGAGGGCACCTAGAGAGGAAAGCTATTTCCACCATCATAGTCTTGTACAATACCTGACAGGGTTGCTGGTGAGGGACACTCGCAGAGAGTCTAGACAGGCAAACAGACGTTCGTCCATCACTCCTGACTTGAGCTCACCCAGGAATTCTTGGGGAGATATCTGATGGCTGCTTCTTAAGCTACCCTGGAAAACAGAAAGGAAGAAGAAATTTCTTAATTGTATTCATGCAAAATGTGATTAAAAATGAGGCAAAAGATCGAAATAGCTACAAAAGCAACCATTTGTTGAAGGGCCTTTACCAGTGTAGTGCCCTTGTCTCTTTAAAAACCTGAAAATCAGGATGTAGTTAGCAGCAGTTATTACACTGAAAGAGAACATGTTGAAAATGTAACCACGTCACAAAATGACAAATCATTGTCGGGGTGGATTTTCTTTTTAAAAGTGACAGGGTATTAATAATTGTACATCTGTTAGAACAAGGTTGGAAACAGACAGAGAAGATGAATCAATCAATGACAGTTTATTTAAGGTTCAAACATATGTTGTATGGCTAGTACAAAAAGACGCTAGCTTCCCCTATCACAGAGTTACATGCAAATCACAATCCTCTTCCACTGAATAGCGTATGGTGGTATATTTACTGTGTTCTCAAACACAATGCTAATCAATCAACAGCAGCTCAAGTGTATCGCAGTAATGCAGGTACATCCATAAAACATGACAGCATCACTGTGTCAGCTATACATTAGCATTAGTATGAGCCTGCCTCAAGGTAGACAAGTGAGGAAGAATATGGCATTTAGTATGAGGGCAGTGTTTTCTCTGAATTTTAAACATCTGATGGAAAGCCACAGACTCCCAACTACTATACCCTCGTTATAGGTGTAATGTGTAACCTGGACCAATAACAATCATATACAACATGCAAAAACTATTAATGTCAACTGTACATCTTTCTCTTAATTTGAAAAATCATAGTTTTAGGCATTTACTGAATGTGCCACATTAAATGGGGGTATAAAAAAAAAGACAGGCATACTTTCATTTCCACTATATTATTTATATCTTTGTGTAAAATCTTTTCTTAATTACCATGAAAAAGTTCAAGAGTTTGAGTTCAAATTCCCAGTATAAAATCACATTCTGCAGTGATATTTATAAAACCTCTATTAAAAGTAAAATATGACAACTTCTTTTCAGCACTAAATTTTTCCAGGCTTTTGATTCATCATTAAGCAAGGCCAGGGCTGTGGATAAACCTGAACACTTATTCCTTTGTACCAGAGAGGCCTCTTAAATAATTCCCAAACCTTCAAATATTTTACACCAAAACCTCCACAGTACACACACCAAATAGCGGGTCCCACGGGGAACAGAATCTAAACTCTTTTCATGTTCATTGAAATTTCATTCACTAGCACATAAATCAAAGTAATTGACACAGCTGTAAATGTATTATTTTCTCAAACTTGAAAAAACATGGCTGTATCTCCTTTGGCTACTAATAATTCACAAGCATACGAGCAAACTACTGAATATACCTGGATACAGCTTTCTTTGTAGCATGACGAGACAACAGTAAAAATCTTGAAGCTGAAGTGTTTTAGGGTGGTGAAGACAGAAAGCTGCACTTATTCAATTTATCAAGCCAGCTGCACTACTGCCAAGATGTCACATATTGTTGAATATGTTGTTGATTCATGAAAGGGCTCAGATATTAACCTGTAACACTATCAAGATGAATAAATAATCTCTAACCCTTACAGGCTGCCAAAACAATGGAATTATGTCCAGTCTGTCTCTCGGTTGACACCTCCAACCCCCGCATCAATATTTGACACAAAATTAGCTGTCAAATCTCACTCAAAAACCCCACTGTTGTCTTTATCCATCAAAGACTGTGTGTTATGATGATCAGAAGAACTCCAATAGACCTAGAAAGAGAAAGCTAACACCGATACGAGGTGTGTCAGAAATGTTTCAGGACTGGTATCATAAAAGATATATTTCAAATCCAAGCTACAAAACTACAAGTTTTCCCTTCGAAGTAATCCCCCTGGAGTCTAACACACTTTCCCAGCCTTCTCTGCCACGCCACCATGCACTCCTGGAAGAATTCTTCCAGGATCCTCTGCAGCTCTGTCGTCACAGACATCTTGATGCCATCCACATCTTCAAAACAGGCCCCTTGATGACCCCCTTGAACTTGGGGAAGAGAAAAAAAAAAATCACACGGAGCCAGGTGGGGTGAGTAGGGAGGTTGCTCCGGCACGGTGATGTTCAGCCAAGAACTGTCAGATGCTCAGGGCAATGTGAGCAGGCGCATTGTTGTGGTGAAGCAGCCACAACTTGTCCTGCCACAACTCTCGCCTCTTCTCGCGCACTGAACGAAGAAAACACCGCACAATCTCTTTGTAGACGTGCTGGTTGATAGTCTGAAGGGGAAAACTAGTTTGAAATATATCATTTGTGACACCAGTCCTGGAACTTTTCTGGTACACCTCGTATAGGATGAGTCAAATACGAATGTGCATGCCAATTGATGGCCAGAAAAGCTAGAAGCAACTATGGAATTGCTGGTAAACAGTGTGGACCTCTTAGAAAAAAGTTCTATTCACTATGTGCTTCACCCTCGAAAAGACCTCGCCACTGGTCTACCTCAAATGTGCTCCTGGCTCATCACCACAAGCCATATCAAATCATTCCCCCCCTATAAGGCATGAATGGAGCAACACTGTTACAGCATCAAAACCCTCCAGTGCTGTGTAATGGCTTAAACATGGTCTTTTTGCTTTCATGTTGGCTCTTGATTGCAGCTCTTTCTTGGAATCATCAGCCAAGACTGGCTCCTACTTCATATGTCCCTTGCTCTGCACCAACTAAGTGGAACAGCAATCGCAATTTTATAAATGTGAATCACTACCTGGCTGCAAATCAAGCATACAAGTGTCTGTGCCTACCTCCCTTTTCCCTCTTCTATCCCAGTGGTCAACTGCTTCTCCCATCCTGGTGAGAAATGATGATGATAAGCCTGTTTGTTTCTCAGGACCTCTAAGGGCTTCGGAGGCAACAGCAAACCGTGAGTGCTGCACATGGTAGCACGTGGGCATAGGCTTTCTGGTCTTTCACATTAAAGAAGAATTGGTGGCAACCCGTTTGCCAGCTGCGGGCGTTGGAAAAGCAACAGACCTGCCTGCAACTTCACCTACATCATATGACAGAGTGACTTCAGATGGAAACTGAGAGATTGTTTTGGACGGAGAAAGAGTCTTGACCAAAAAGCTGGTGTATGCAGGAGAACAATTATAAACAAGAACTATTTTATTGTAACAATAGACTTGTGTATGCTAAAATGGGTGCAATACTTGCAACATAACACCTTAAAAATACGAACACTAAGCCGTGGTTCAGAATACCAAATATGCTTTAATGAGCTATTAGTCTGTCGCCATCCCCAGCCTTTGTGAAACAAGACTAAGGAGACACATTTCTGAAAATTTGTTTTAGGTGTTATAAAGGCAGAACTAAGTGAAGCACAATTTCCCACACAGCAGGGCCACTGCAGACAAATCAACACTGGCGTCTCTAAGAAGGAGAATGGTTATTTCAGGACAGCGTCTGCTACACAATGCACTGTCAAAGGTCAGCAATTATTTTGTGAAACAAAATACATGGAAATTGGTTTTCTAGAAGCCTATCCACCAAATTCACAAGCTGGAAGCACACTTGATTGTGTAAGCAAGTGGAATACATCAATTTACAATGTAGTATTAAAGGTTAATTGGCAAAGCAGACATGTGGTTGGAGAGGGGTGTGTCAAAAGATTGGTACCTTGGTTTCTCTTATTTTTTAGGGGTTTTTTTTGTGTTTTATTTCTATTATTTACAGGAATTAAATATTGATTCAAGTCAAAGAAATTAGTCAACTGAAAAAAAGGAAAAGATGACAAATAAAAACTTCTAACCGGTTCATTTGTAATTCTTTTAACAAATATGTAATTTACCACTTCATATGTAAATGAGAGGGTGATAAAAGTGTCTTTTTGAAGAATTTTAATTTGCTGCTTTTTGGCCAGTGGCCACAGTATTGTGCTATGCAGGTAAACAAATGCAGGCATATAAACAGGCCAGTCCCCATGGTAACTAGAGATGGACAGCCTAAGGCAACTTGGAGGGCTGTCTGATAATAACAAATATAATAAATGCAACACTTCTTTGCAGGACACAGTGCCAACTTGTTGAGCAAAAAAAAAAAAAAAAACCTTTTCAGGGGTCTGCTGGATAATATCTATATGCTTCATTATTCATAAAACGTATTATTTTTCCTCATACTATCCATTTCTACAGCACCTCAATTGACCCTGTGTTTGAAACAGTACATTATATGCCTCTCCTGCATAGGAGACAAATAATCCATAGGAACAGAGTATATTTAAAATCATGTCAACAAATTTAAAGGTGGAAGTATTACTTACAATTTTAACTTGTACATGTGAAACACTCAAGAGTATTTGCACATACTGTAGTTTACTGTACTGTGCCCATGGTTCTCAGCATAACTCTCCACTACATAAGAATCTTCATTATTTTTCAAGATAACTATCACAGACTGAACCCATATTAATAATGTACATATTGTGGGTTAAGTATTTCATGAAGTATCACCTGCAACTTATGGTCCACACCTTGACTTTCTTGAGGGCAAGATAAGTCAGTGTAAGGCCTCTTTGGTCTGGGAGAGAAATAATGGTCCACAGGGTTCATTTTTTTGGACATTTAATTGTTTTCCTTCAAACACTGACAGTTTTATCACCCTCTATCCGTCTGTCTGCTTTGGGAGGGAGGAAAGGAAAAGCTTGAGGCTCTCTGCTGAAACTCTGAAGGAGGACCAATCAACCATGACAGCAAACTCACATACACAAAATCTAATCACTCAACTTTCACTCAAAAATGTTGAGAATATATATAAAATAAATTAAGAACAAAACTTTATACAGTTATGTCAAATTGCACTATTACTCAAAAAAATCAACAACACATGTTGTGTTGCACAAGAAACAAAAAGAAAATTTTACAACTGAAAACAATTTTTGATCAACTTTTAGGACAGACTGAGTAAACCAGAGAAAGAGAGAGAGAGAGAGAGAGAGAGAGAGAGAGAGAAGTGGAGAGAAAGAGATGAGCCCAACAGGCAGCAATATCGGTGGGTGGGCTCTGTCCTTTAACAATTCAAGCCAATTCTCACTAATTTAATGACCAAGATATTTTCCAAACTTTTTCAATCTTGAGTTTATTGACTATCCTATTAAATATTCCCACCCTTGATACAATATTTGTCCACTATTCCCAGCAGAGGTATAATAATAACAGTAATCTGGGAGACACAGAAACGACAGGACTGAGGGCAAATGAGAATGCTCTGGCTTGTAAACCGAGAGTACATACTTTATTTTTTGATGGTAAAAAGTCTAATTCAATTACTCCCTTGTGGCTGTCAGGCCAAAACGCATAAGAGACATCATTTTTCAGAAAAAAAATACATGGAATGACATGTGGCTGAGCAAAAGTTGAGCAAAACCAGGTCGAGGAAAAAAACTGACAAATAAACACAGATATTAATTTCCAGACATTTAATTACATCAACTATGAAAAGTAGACAGAAAAACATTAACATTAAGACAAGAAATATGTATAAATTGAAAAACTCACAGTTTTAGAGGCAGTAAACATATACTGGATGACCATTTCTCTCTTTGTGTTAAGGTCCTTGTCTCTCAAAGGAGTCTTCTTGTCCTCATTCAGGTTCATGTCCTCCTGAAAGAAAAAAGAAAAAAAAAAAAAGAAATAGGTGATGAACCCTTTTTTTAAAAGGAGGCTTTGTATCAGGCAGAAACAACCATAACTTGAAATTGAAACCAATGCAGAAGTACCCTAAAATGCAATTACCAATGACCTGACGGTCACTAGGTGCTGGCTCCAAAAAATCTCTGGCTCCATTCAAAAAGCATGAACTTCTCTTATAAAACGCTGAGTCTTTTTCTTTTTTTTTTTTTAATGTCACTTGCATGTCGATAGCAAAACTCACTCCTTCTCATAAGTGTGCCAATTGCCATTTTGATTTGCTCACCCGCTGGTTTTCACACTACATTATTTAGAACCAGAGACCTAAGACTAAATTGAAAGTCATAACTTAATGTAAACCTGGAAATGATCAGAAAGATTGAGGATATAAAGACATAAGAAGTTACAACATCCAACCATTATTTATACACCGCTTAATCCTCACTAGGGTCACGGGGGGGCTGGAGCCTATCCCAGCTGACTTAGGGTGAAGGCAGGGGACACCCTGGACAGGTCGCCAGTCTATTGCAGGGCTACACTTAGAGACAGACAACCAAGCACACTCACATTCACGGACAATTTACAATCACCAATTAACCTCAACACGTTTTTGGACTGTGTGGGAAGAAGCTGGAGAACCCGGAGAGAACCCACGCTGCATGGGGAGAACATGCAAACTCCACGCAGAAAGATCCCGGTGCCCCCACCGGGATGCGAACCGGCAACCTTCTTGCTGCGAGGCAACAGTGCTAACCAACTGCGCCACCCTGCACCCTGAAGTTACAACATGTAAAATAAAAACATAAAAAGAAATATCTCAGACTGCATTATTGCTACAGTCAGCAATCAAACATGTACAAATATGTGGCAATAATTAGTTGCTTTCAAAGCAAAATTGAGCAAACCATCAGAAGACCAATACTTCAAACTTTGTTCATTTAGAGACAGAAAAGCAACTTCATAACAGAAATTGCTAATAAACACAATACTTCAGTCATTCAAAGTACTGTCAAAAGAAGGCTGTGGTCTCAGAGGAAGAGTAGTCGTCTCTAAGCCACTTCTCAGCAGGGGATCTAAGGCCAATTGCTTGTGGTGGGCTAATACATATCAGAATTTCACAGTAGATACTGAAAATAAAAATCCTGTTTACTGATGAAAAAAATATGAGGGTCTATGTTAGGAGACAAACAGGGCTGGAGAATGACACTGCAGTGCATCAGACCGACAGTGAAGCATGGTGGTGGGAGTGCTTAAGTCTGGGGGTGTGTTGCCAACTCAGGAGTTGGACACCTGCATCGAATCAATTACATCCTGACCAAGGAGAAGAACCACTTCATTCTTCAAAGACATGCTGTACCCTCTAGTTTGCATCTCTGTGAAAAAGGATTTATTCTGCAGCGGAATAATGATCCCAAACACACCTCAAAGCTTTGCGAGAACTACTTGAGGACCAAAGAAAACCAAGGAGTTCTGACTGCCATAGACATTCCTCCACAGTCACTTGACCTGAACCTCATTGAACATTTTTTGGGGGCACTTGAAAAATGAGAAGGGCAAGCATTCCTGACATCACAATAAGCTCTTCAGAACACTATCAAATCATGCTGAGACAGCATGTTATCAGGTTTTTCAGAGATTCTACTTATCGCTCAAATTCTTCAGCTGACAAAATCAGTTGTAATGAAAATATGCATGCTACATTTGAAATACTTGCAGAATCAAAGTAAAAAATGTTCAAAATAAGGTACATGCCTTTGCTATATTCAGTGTTTCTCTTTATTTTTATCCATATCTTCACCACTTAGTCACTGCTTGCCGTTGAAGAAGGTTTTAAATGTCAAGTCGATTTATTTTCAAAATTCACTTGAGACGATTTTTAACAAAAAAAACATACCATCATCTTTTCAAAGAGAGCCAGGATCTCTTTTTCCGAGGTGATCTTTGATGACAATTCCTCAAAATGATGGGAGGTGGATGATGAAGAAGTGGACCAGTCATTTGAGTTGTGTTTTGATTGAGTTAAGGGTGTCCGCTCCTTTTTACTACCCGGAATCCGAATGCTGGCAAATCTGTCCAGCTGTTGAGACAACAGAAAAAACGTAATTAAAATAAGCACAAACAACACAAGAATTTTCAGTGTCAAGTTGAGATAAACAGAGGAAGTGTTAGACTGTTAGCGTAGTTAACTCAGACGGGGAACAATTAGTCAGTTGATTTGTTAGAAAACAAAGCTAATAGTGTATGAACAAAGCTCATACTCTGCTTGACACATGCTGAGTAACGCACTATCATGATCTAGATGGAGAGTCAACAAAGACATTAGTTAGTAAGAAAAGCACTGTGGTCTGCGACGTCAATGAATCCAACATCTGGCAGTAAAGACCAATTTCACTGCCACTCAAAACACGCAGATTAGATTATTTCAAGTAAAGTGGTGTTAGATGTTGCACAGGCTGATAACAGAAAGTACATCAAAAGACAACACATCCGTTTGTCAAATCTTACCACATCATCTGTGATGTTTCTAAAGGGTAAGTGCTACAAGTGGGGAGCAGAAAAAAAACAAATCAGGATACATGAAGCAAATAGTATAAAATTAGATTTTTTTTTCAGTCCTACAGCAACCTATGGCAAATCATTTTGATACAATGAACAGATATTGGTGATTGCCAACTAAATAAAATGTTTTGCTTCCTCACATTCGACGTACAGATTCAACAATTTCACATACAGCACATTCTGAAAAGATAACTACAGTGAAATGTTGGTATTCTTTGTATTTTATGACACATATTTTGAAATTCAAAAACAGACAGCTTTAAAGTATATGAGTGTTTTTTACATTCACATTGAGGTGGACAGCCAAAGGCAATAAAAATATATAGTCAACACAATGCAAAATGTTCACTCATCATTTGTCTCATCATTCGTCATTTATTTAAAAGCAGTGGGAATGATATATTATCACTGTTTTGGGCAGGTGATCATTGAGATTTGCATAAATAGTTGAATCTGCTATGATTATATACTCAAGGCAAACTCAGTGCTTTGATCTACATGAATTAATGGACCAAACTGCTGCACATTCCCCAGGAGGCTGCAGATGAACAATAGATGGGTGCCAAACTTTACGTACAAGAAGGAAACTCTTTTGTGGCACACAGGTAAGTCGGTTATTAAACCCACGATTAAATGTATAAACCCAAGTGTCTTAGTCAACATCAACACTAGCTATTTAACTAAATTGTTGCCTAAAACACGCTTCTCAACCAGCCCTGTGTACAAGTTATGAAAAAAAAAATCCCCTGTGTAGTGGAAGACATTGGCATTTGGCCTGTTGTTATCAGTGTATACCAGCTCAGTGCCTGCTGGGTAAGTTTTGTCTGCTGTTTTTTTTCTAGTCTAGCAGACTTTATGTTTGTTTGTTTGTTTGCTTTTCTCTGTAGACATCTTGGGAGCTTGCCATCTGTACTTCAGAATCTGTGCTGTGTAATTAGGAACAATCCTAATAAGGAATGGGAAATCAATACATGAACAGAACAAATTACATTTCAATATGTTGTCAATGGAATACTAAATGAAAAAGTGACATGGAAAGGTTCAGTTTCCCTCAAGCATAAAAACAGACCTGAAAGAACTTGGGAGAAATACCAGTGTTTAATTACAATAAAATCGCCTGGAATGAAATGTCAGCCTGTCAATAAGCCGTCCACCTGATGAGTGTGCCGAGATTACCAACATACATTTTTGTTCACAATGGGCTAGAAGAGAAACAGACAAAGTTGACATGAGAGAACAATTACAAAATGAGCCATCATATGTTTGCAGTAGGAATCATTTGCTCTGCTGATCAGCTTGACAAATGGTCAAAGCTAATTTCACACAGCTGTCAAACTATGCCTGAGTAGGCATATATTTCAAGCAAAACGAACATGAATCTAAACAGCTACACAACTAACGAGGGCTGCACAATTATGGTAAAAAATGATAATCACGATCACTTTAATCAATAGTGAGATCCCAATTATTTACTCCAATTATTGATAAAACATTGTAATTGCACTTTTAGATTCTGATAGAGCACTGCCTCTACATCTATGTGCTATGCTCCGGTATGCATCAAAATAAGACTGGCTCTTATTCACAGTGCATCTCCTATAAGCAAAACATAAATACAACTATACTGTTATAATTAATCATGTTTCGACCTATTATGTATTCTGAAGCTGTATTTTTCCACTGAGCCTATGATTCAGTTTTGTATTTTTCTACTGAGCACAATATACATCCTTGAAGATAACCTGGCCAGTGAGAACTGGGAGACAACGGAAACTCCTCTATTCTATCAGTTACTTTAGATACACACCTTTTGAACAACACACACACTTTGTAATCGATCCAAGCAGTTTCTGTTTACATTTCAATGAACTTTCACGTGAACAGTGGTTAGCCTGTTCACGTCACAGTAACTGGCCAATTAACCTCGGTTGCGTACAAGCCCAACCTCTGTTCGAGGCAGTCCCAGTCCAAGAAGATATCTGTAACCTCTGAATCCAGCGCTGCTTCACTTTACCTGTGACCTAAATAAATTCTATATCTGAGAACTGAAGATTTCTCCAGTTTGTTCTTGGGCTTCTAAATAAAGAATCGGGCTAACAATACCAAAACTTTTTACCCAAGGTGAAATCAACAGCTTTCACTATTTGAACTTTTTGCAATACATTGGCACCACTGTATAGTGTCACTGTATAGCTATCTCAATGGAAAAAGACAAGGACTCAGAGTGAGGTATCATTGACGACGCTGCTGGGCTTGGTCTTCATGCATTTATCATACTGCCGTCTATAGTGTTCTTTGCAGGTGGTTAAACAAGTTTGCTGTATAGCTTTGTCACAAAGACACAAGTCTCATGTATTTTTTGCATATGAGTTGCTCTTGCTTATTTCCACTTGCTCTAAATCCAAATACTTCCAAACAAGAGAAAATGATCCATTTCGAGAGACAAGCTCTCAATCTTTTAGTTTTCGTTTTGCCCATCTGCTCTCTTTTGTTTTATCACTCCTCTACTCTAAACTGCATCTGCAACATTGAGGAGACTGTTTCACAGGCTGCTGCTGCAGTGGTATACATGGATGTTCCCCAACATTAAAGTCATGGTATCTTGATCACTGCCTGGTGACTGGTGGTTAGTTTAGAAAGCACTTGATTTGATATGCAAGATTTCGATAAGCAGAACACACTTTTAAATGTGGATATTGTAGTGGACCATGTAATATATTTGCAAGAAGCCACAATCGTGATAGAGATTATTGGCTGATTATTTATGCAGTATCACAACAAACAATTGTATAATTATTAGTTAAGTGGGGTCACATTACTTCAACAAGTCTATGTTTTTATATTCTCTCAAAATTATAAAAGAAAGCAGCCAGTATGTGCTAAACTGTGTGAATACATATTTAATAAACAAACGGTCCAATAATTTAAAAAAAAAAACAAAAAAAACAAAAAAAACAATTTGGTATTATGAAAGAGGAATATATACCATTCTGTTTTACTAACTTTTCACCATCCCCTACATGTCCTCTGACGCAGTTGTTTTAACAAAAATTTGAATTCTAGCCTGATGATCAATGGGTTGGTGACTCAGACATGACAGGCAAACTTTCTCTACGCTCTCAAAAACTTTGCATCATAATTCAGCTCTTCAACAACGAGGATTTAATTAGGCAAATTTATTCTGTATTGTTTATTTATTTAGGCCTATTTTCTATCTTTCAGCCAAAACAGCCAAACTCCCACTACCTTTAACTGAACATAATGCATTCTTAAGAGTGTGTCTATTCTGGCAGTGTCTTTTTATTTCATGTGTTTATTTCATCTAACACCACTTTACACTAAATATTTGTGAACAGTATTCGGCAATAGTGTTATGTGCAACAGGAGTCTCAAGTCATACACTGTTGATAGAAAAGAAAAAACAAAAATGCAATTGGGTTTATTATGATAGGAACTTAAATGTAAAAGATGTACAGTCTCATCAAATTACAACATTAATGACTGAAGTAACAGCACATGGATTTGTCCTGATCTGCTCAGAACAAAACGTTTGGTTCGGTGTGAGACGTCTGTTCAGTACACCCAGAATAGTTTATATCTACAAACTCACACTCCCAGAATGAAATTTCCATCAGAGGGTTTTGGCAGAGCACCAGTTGTTTCCTATCACCAATAGAATGCTAGTAGGGTTAGTCTTGGCAGCTGAGTGGACACTGAACAATCTCATACAATGTTTTAACTCAAACTCAGGTCTGCAGACTAACTTTTTACATTTATTGCACACTGCGCCTACCTATTGTCGCTTTAAATGCATCAGCACATAATTTAGGAGCACTTCAACTTTTTCCTCTGTGCCTTTTGGTTCCAAATATTACATCTTAGGTGTTCCCATTTTCTCAGTTTCCATAAACAATAGTCATTTTAACACCTTATAAGAATAAAGGTGAAGATAAATGTTTTGTACATTAATCCTTTCTTTTTCCAAAAAGGTGATCAGTTTGACTTAAAAGGTGGCTCTTCTCATGCTATATTATACGCAGTGATAAACTGTATTGTAATTTTTGACTCTGGTTTGCCATTGCCTGGTGCTAAAATACTGCAAAGAGAGTGGCTGCATTGTCAGCCAGGCATTGTCTCAATTCAGAATGTTGATGCTCCATGGCAAAAACACTGTTCCCCGCCATGCTTTGGCTGCACTTTTTGCAGTAAATTCAATGTATACTGTAGGGCATAAGCTGAGAATTAACTTTCCTTGTGGGTAGCACAGTGTGGCTGATGTGCATGCAGAGAATAATGAAGTTTAGCTACGGTGAGTGTAACCCAGATTGTTTTCTGGAGCTATAGTTTACAGGGGTCCCTTAAATGCCTCATATGCAGACCATCGGTAGATGCCAAATTTATCAAAGTTCCCTTAAGTCCTCAAAGGCATTAGTTGATGTAACAATTCACTGCTGTTCCCTAAATGACACACATCAGCTGAGCACAGAGAAACCTTGAGTTCCCATTCAAATATTGCAGCGCACACAACTCAGACAAGCCAAAAAAAACTGTCTCAAATGAGTAAAACGAGGCACTCCAGTGTAAGATTTACCCAAGTTAAAACTGTGTAATTTTATCAACCTGGGTGGGCCGCCCAGAGACACACGTAGACAGATCGGCTAAATGTCAGGTGCACTAGTGTGACCTATGAAAATGTTTAGTCACGCTTGAAAGATTTTTGGTCGCAGTTCCTGACACTGCAAACTGTAAATGTTCCTCCTGCACAGTCAGATCCTGCAGCGTCTCTACTCACACTGTGGAGTTCACACTAGAAGCTGTGAAAACACTCAAAGGAAAAAGCTCAATAAAACTCACATTTAATCGCAAAAATCTTCACTTTTCTGCATTCCTCTTTCGCTACTTTTTCAGTTTCACTGCACAATCGTTCAGTTCTAAAACAAAGCTCTGGTGGGAGCTGGTGTTGCTTAATACAGCATGGGTATAAATAATACTTAGTGGCTTATTTTTCATAATAAGAATTCTGTCATTGTTCCAATATTTGGCCTCCATATTAGCAGGTGCCCAAACTGGGGCTTGTCAGGCATTGATTGCTACAGGATATATATCTTTTTTGTAAAGCATTTACTCTAACTGCTGCACACAACCACTAACTCCTTAAATGAGGGTGGTTTACAAAACACAAATTTCGGCTAAACTTTAAAGACATATCAACAAAAAAACAGCTTCCAGAGGCATAGGTTTTTGAAAGTTTGATCTCTATATTTGGACTACTCATTAAGTATACTGCCAAGTAAGGGCTTTTTATTTTAGAAGTTTTGAGGCACATGCTGTGAAGGGCTGCAAATACTTATCACAGGCAAATCATTCTCACATTGAATGGAACAATGGTTCTGCACCATACTAAGAACCAGAGTTCAAAAACATAACACTATGGGCTTCAAAAAAATGTTAATTTCCTGCAGGAATACGGTGATAAAAAGTAAAGGCAGAATTTTCTTTAATGTTTGAGTGTGTTCACAATTCTAACAGAAACATACATGTATGATTAGTGTTTCAACAAACTTGACTCTATTATAGAACTCAGTGCCACAAGCCTTTTCTTCTATACAAGAGTTAGTGTGGAGTCTTTCTTTCAAATTTTTATTGTCTCTTAACTGCCCGGTTAAATAATCTCCTTATCATATCAGCACTGCCTCATGGGCAGTATCACAGTCACTGGATGAAAAGCCACTCAACAAAGTAACTTCCCTAATTAAAAAATTAAATTAAGGAATATGCTTGATGGAATAAAAACTTGTCAAGTACAATAATTACTGATTAAATAAAAATCACGATTGATTAACACAAGTCCCCCCATTGTGATTTTTAGTTACCCTATAATAAAACAGAGTAAAATGGAATCTCACAGGAACTTCAAGGCATTGCATTTGCACGTCTTTCATTGCACATAAAGTGCCTTTTAACTCCCTACAGAAAAGTAGCCACTCTGTTGAACTATTTCACAGAATGGTGACTGGCAACAACTGAACAATTCTAACAGGCAAAAGCAATGGTTAGTAACTGCTAGAAACAGCTGGACGCAGCGAGAGTGAACGTTTAGTGTCTTGCCTGTCCCAGACGTTCATTCCACAAAACTTGCTAATTAAATGATCCTAACGCTCTCTCGTCTTGCCTGTACTATTGTGTATGTACAGCAAAATGACAATAAACTTGATTTGATTTGATTTGAAAAGACAAAACCCAAACAAAGGTAATTTGCAAAGTTTGCACAGAGACAGTTCGCAAGTCGGATGGCAACACGACGAACTTGTTTAATCACTTTACATAGAGAAATGGTTTGGTTGCACTGACCAGAAACTTGCAAATTAGTCTTAAAAATACATGGAAGATCGTGATAAAATCAAAATCGGGATTTTAGAATTTAAAAAATCGTGATATGATATTTTTGCCATATCGCCCACCCCTACCATATATAATGAGAGAGACTGGAACTGAACAAATCCTGGTATTTTAGAGCCAGATCCAAAAAGGAACCAGCAATCGGAACCCAACAATAACTGTCATCCTATGAGAGAACAAGTGTATATAGGATGCTATACATAGATGAGGACGGTCTTTAAAAACCTATATGAATGACCTCCATCCACTCCAAGGCCATCCTTGAACAGATGTAGGTCCTATTATCTTTCTGAATAGTTACCAGCTTCCACACATAGCAGAGCTTTTGAGTGTAGGTTGTTGTTTGTTTTTTTTCAAATATCCCACTGGTGCAGTGAGATATTACCATTTGTTCTTTTCCTCTTTGACACCGTACTTATTGTTACTTATCAGCACTGTGCATACTCATAAATGATTTATTACTGAAACACTATTTTAAAACTTTTACAACGCGGTTTTGTGCATTTATGCTGAATCTGTCAAGAGACTTTCAATAATCAGAAGTTCCACAAGTTATGTGGCAGGTTGCCAAGAATCAGCATACCAATCAGTCAATGAAACACATTCTGATCAGTTGTGGAATGCACAGTCTCTGCATTTGTGAGAAAATAACCAAGTTACAACAGAATACAAACTGATTACAAAATACTGCATTGATTCATTTTTATAAATAAAGTGTTTTTTGTGTGTGTTTTTTTAATTCTTATGAACTGTACAAACAGAGGGAACAAACGTATATGTTGCCTCCATTTACACAGACACAGCACAGTGATTAAACACATGCTAGCAATCAAACGGACTGTTTTAACACAGATCTACCAACCCCATTTTGCAAGACCACTTTCATCCAGCTCTGAACAATCATCGGAACAGGTGAACAGGTGTTTCTAGTAAATGTTAGACATTTAGGCAACAGCTCATCAGTGAAAGTGGATAATAACAGTCTGGGATGAAAATCTATTCCTGCAGACCTTTACTTGTCGACAGAAATCTCTGAACACTGACAACAAGTTATTAACGTGTGGGAGCACTCTCCTAAGAACGGGGTCAACGCAGGTTAAGCATGCATTAAGTAGATCTGTCATTCACAAGTCGTCCGTCTGAAAGGGGATATGTGTGTGTTGTTAATAGAAGCCTGTTTCAAAATTGAGAGCACTGATTGAGGATCCCAATAACAAGAAGAATGTTTTATACAAAGTAGCAACATCTTCCACTATCTCCTTGAAGAATAGCGCAGACAAACACCTGGTAGACAGAATACTGGTCGGATTGTAGTAGCAGGAAACACATGGATTAGTGTTGGCTAAACCCTGCGCTAATTTTAACCTTTTGATTTGCTACATGCAAAGCAAAGTCAATAATCAGTCAAGGTCACTGGTCTCAAATACATTTATCACATGCAAAAATGCTTTTTGAATATGATTTCTTCACTTTAAGATATATTCTGTGACTCTCTGTATTTTCTCAGCAGTAGACAAGCCACTTTGTGCATTACTCAGCCATTACTCAGACATGGCACATCTCCAGCACTGGTCTACTACTCCACCTGTTTTTTTTTCTTTCTTTGTCACTGTTTCCAACGGGGTGATCCAACCACAGAAACAGTTTCAAAGCAGTTTCAAACAGAAATAATTAAACCAAGGTCACTTTGATATGTCTTCCAGGTGAAGTGATGCATTTACTATCATGTGAAAAATGCAAAGACATACAATATATGAAAAACAAATGTCGCGGTCCCTTTTTCCTTTGTAGGTTGTTCCCTCTCCCAGTGTGTAATAGAGAGAATATTAAACAGAGACAGCGATTGAGATGATATCATGTGGAAAAATCGTCTTTGTGAACCACAAAAGTAGGATGCAACTTTGTTATTAGGCAGCCATACTTACAAACTTCGGCTTGCGGTCTCCTTCATCGTAACATGAGGTGCTGTGGTTAGAGGAACCCTTCTTCTTTTGAGATTTACTGTCTCTTCCTGCGGTGGAGTCAAACCGCTGACTGTAACTATCCATATTAACCTAATGACTTCTCCGCGAGCTGACAGGTATTTCAGTCTAAACCTTGCAATGTATGTGACGTTAACGGACACCGTTAAACGCTGAAGGACGACACTCGCAGAATTATCTGTCGTAGAGCATTACTATTTCTTTCTCGTGGTTAACGCGTGGATATAAAGTTTGTCAAAACCAGAGAAGCTCAAATTTCAGTACTAGCCGTCAGTCCCAGCAGTCCGTTTAGCTAGCCAGCTAGCTAGCCAGTCTGCTACACTATCATTCACTGGTGGCTTTACTTAACGCTAATCCAATTTATGGACTGTCACGTCACGCTCGATTTTCCACGAACGGAACAATTGCGGCACAAAACATACAGTTGTCGTCACTTACAATTTTTCCATACCCAGTAACTGAAAACTATACACTCACTACAAGCTGCAGTTGAAGCGTTAGCTGGATAAAATATTGTGGAAAATTTTTGACAGACCCGCGCAATGATGACGTCTGCGCCGCATGTTTAATCAGACCAATGGCGTTCAGGGAGCCAGAAATACGGACTAATCATTGGTCCGCTCTCAGCCATATGGCTACACCTCTTCGCTATTTACAGTTGAAACGGCATTTGATTGGCCTGAGTGAGCTGTCAATCAGCACTATTTCATTTTAGGGTGGTTCGTTTTATTTACCCTCTGTCTCCCGTCGATGCGATGGTTGATGTAGACTGGGTCAACCTTGGTTGCAAAAGTGCTATTCTTTTCCAAACCTTTAAATTGCTTGATATTCAATGAAGATAAGATTTTATCATTTCCACTTGCAAGGAAAATATTTTGCTTTACAGAAATATTGAGCAGAATGCACACAATGCATACAATCATTCAAAACATTATCTTAATAATATCATATGATTGCAATATCAGTGTTTTTCTACTTATGGAAGACTTGTGCAATTGTGTAATTTTTGCAAAATCTATGTAACACTACTGATATGTGCAATATTATTATTTTTCATATTCAGAGAGTTTTTTCTGTGCAGTAACTGAAATTCCACACATGGAAGAATCAAAACTAATCTATTTTTTTTCCTTTTCTTCCCCACTGATGTTCCCAACACATTTGCACCCCAGTGCTGCTGTAACACTGCAAATGTCTCCACTGCAGGGTTAAAAAAGGCTTATCTTATCTCATAATATTTAAATTAATAAGTTAAATACATATAGATATATGTATTATCTGTAGTCATGTCATGTTACAAAGAAATCAAAGAAAATATACACAGATTTAATAACTTTACAGCTTGACTTTGATTGACACAAGAGTCACATTTTAGTGAATGTATAGTTACCAAACAAAAAATGAAGCAAGACTCTGGGAGTTACTAAGGAGTTTCCTGCAGATAGTTCATAGTGAACTGCAAATGCATCAAACAAGACTGTAGAATATGCAGAATCTAAAAGGTCAGCCATAAAAAGCTTCCTCCACTGTTTCGTGCTTAATCAGATGAATCATAAAAATAATTGACTCTAATTGTTTTATATAGTCAGTCATATAATAAGAGTCCTAATAGCCTTACGACTGTGCACAGGTGATAAGTCTTTTGAAAAGCAACAGATCATAGATGATGAAAACATTTGCAACAAACATTTGTGCTACCACGTAGTCTTACACTATAACATTTCCAGGATCTAACAAAACATTTAAGTCCATACATAAATTGATGTTTATGGTTTACTGAAAGTGCTTTACCGTGTTGATTTTTTAGCTTTGTTTTCCAATTTAAAAGTAAGCTGAGGCCACAGTAAATTCCCAAACACCTTATCTGATGCAAACAGCAACAAGGTAATGTGATGCAACTATGAGAAACTTCTGTGTCAGACGCTTCTCATGTGCTCTCCTCAAAACATGCTTTTTCCCTCTGAAGACATGCAGTATCAGAGAAGGTTCTTCAATCTAAAACCAACCCCTATGAAATATTTGTGCACCTGTCAGTGACACTCAGAAATGTATTCATTGTGTGGGATATTGAGGATGAACCATGATGTAGGTGGTTGTTTCTGGTAAGTGCTTTTTTTTAAAGTTCTATATGCTTGACATTGTTATTCAGCAATAATGTTTGACCTCATGGAACTGTATTCTTGAGGGCAATAGGATAAAAGCCAAGAGAAGTATTAACCTTTCTACTGCCTTTATGCCTCTAGTCAGGTGGGACCATGTTAATCTTTTATAAAACTGTAGCAGTGGAGTCATATGACAACTAGACATATGTAACCTACTGCAACGTTAACTCACAGTTTTATGAAAGAACATATCCTTACCACCAGAAAAAAAGGGTTTACTTGGCAAGGAGGCAAGAGGCAGATTTCAGCTGAAATCTCTTAGCTCATGTAATTTGCTCCACTGTTATAGCTTCAGCATCAGTCTTTGCCGAGTGGAGCAGTGATCGAGTATAATTATGCTCCAATTATTACTTTGTCTGTCTACAAAAATACGGTGTACTGGGATAAATTCTCATTCACAGGTAAACTGACAAACAGATGGAGATTTGCACAAGCTTCTGTGTGATTTGCTGGAAACACATTTCCCATGCACATTTAAAATTTCAAAATGATTGCTGTTTTTTTGTTCAAGGCTAAACTTTAAATTAAACATCACAATTGAATGAAACCTTCAGCAATGAAATCAAATTTGACTTTCTTTGATTTTAACATCTTGAAATGTTGTTGTCTTGAAAGATCTATTCCTTTGAATTCCTGTAAGGTCATCTGCACGACTGCCAGCAGTGCGTTAACACTCTTCATCTCGCCAAACACAACCCTTGTGGCATTGTGCCTTGCTAATCCTCTCAGACAATGAAAGATTGAGCCATCCATATTGGTCAAAGAGCCACCACAGGGTTATATAATCAAAAAAAAAATCCCAATGGCCAGAAAATATGAATTTCTATAGTTTCTTGTATTGATATTTACATTGATCTTGACTACTTGAACAAACATTTCACACTGAGATAATCCATTTAAATTCAATTGAATTTGAGAGGGTTTTTTTTTTTTTATTCGTTTGTTTTCCAAGAATTTAATTCTCTAATTGACATGAGTATTTCAAGACAGCATTGTCATAGCATTATTAAATAAAAAAGGTATAATTCATAAAAGTAGATTACTGGTTGGTAAACTGAGTTTTAATCAAACATGTTTTCAAACTGTTTTGATGTTTAATTTAATTCCAGGAACAGAGTTTTAATGTTTCTTCTTACACAGCTTAGGTTGAGATAAAAAAAAAAAAAAAAAAAATCTATTTTGGAATCCCTTTGCATTTTCAGAAAATATTTTACTGCAGTGGTTGTGTCACTAACAGCACAACTCAACCTTATAACACTTGCTGAAGTAGAGAATGAATGCCATGGAGGGATGTTGAATACTATCTGTCTTATACGTAATAATTATTAAAATCTGAGAACAGAAACTCTTGATTAGAAACATAAAGGCTCTTACCTAATAAGAGAAGTATTTTTTCTCAATGTGAAGCTTGATTACTAGAGCAGTCCATTTCTATCGCTGGAGTTCCTGAGTAAAAACAGCTTTAAATCTTGCTAAAATGCTACATGGAGATTTGGTTCTGTTTTAATATTTCAGTGTGCAGATACTGCCATCTTGTGGTTTCAAATAAATAGCTTCACTCCACTGTGATGCTGGGTTTCGTTTCACTGATAACTAAACCATGCCAGGTGTTTTCTCTTCGAGATGTTGCACAGTGTGCAGTGTCATTTGCCCTTCACAAATCCTTTACAGTCATGTGAATGCGTTTCTACCGCAAAAGACAGCAAATTATTATCACTATTGGTAAACATTTAAATATTTTCATCACCAGAACGATCAAATATCAATAAAAACACTGAAATTAGATTGTTTCAGGGTATGATTTGTTAGGTTTAAGATATGGAATTATCATTTTTTTTCAAATACATTTTGCTACAACAGCTTCCATCCATCCATTATCTGTACACTGCTTAATCCTCACTAGGGTCGCGGGTGGGCTGGAGCCTATCCCAGCCAGCTCAGCTGATGACAGGTCGCCAGTCAGTCACAAGGCTACACAGAGAGACAACCAAGCACACTCACAGTCACACCTATGGACAATTTAGAATCACCAATTACCCTCAGCATGTCTTTGAACTGTGGGAGGAAGCCAGAGAACCTGGAGAGAAACCACGCTGCATGAGGGAGAACATGCAAACTCCACACAGAAAGATCCCGAGTGTCCTAACTGGGCCGCAAACTGAGAATCTTCTAGCAGTGAAGCGATGGCGCTAACACTGAACAGCCCCAGCTTACATCTAATACATATAAATATGAATGAGTAATTAAAATGCCATATTAACAATATCCCCAGTGAAATCTAAGCACAATGAGGTCCATTTACTGTATTGTTAAATCTGAGTCTCCGGTTTTCTGTCTCAAATCAGTGACAGAAAGACATACACATAGACATAGAGGAAAAACTGTAAGATTTTTGTCAGTAGTTTCACTCAGTAGTTCACTTTCTCTGAACAGCAATCTCACAAGCAGTATAGTTCCATAATAAACACAAATAAAGCAACCTAACTAAGCAGTTGTGTCTACCACATTGACATTTCAGATACAGCTTCCAAGCTGAAGCATCAGCAAAGAGCTGGCACATCAAGATGGTAAAGTGATCTACAGTACATCAACATGTGTCTGAGGTTTGTTAATGATGGTTGCAGGTGGATGTTTTGTGATTAGTCATCTGACTGACGCACTGGAACGGTAAGTGTTTACTAAGTTTTCATAGCCTAAAGTCTGGGCCAAGAAGTAAACTCATTGAACTTGGTTTCTGGCTTCCTAAACACCTATCTGGATTTTAGGAAAATGGTAGAATAAATTCCTTTGATATTTGAGTGTTCCACAGCCAAAATTGCTCTGAGAACAATGTGACACGGGGGATTATGGAAAAAGAATTTGCCTGAACAGCTCTGCAGTTTAAACAATACTTATACTTTTTTTTGGCTTAAACATAATATATTTTTGAGGCACAGTGAAACTCTTTGTAGAGGAAGGATATGTCTAAAACTAATCATTTTAACGAAATGTAATCCATATATAAATTCATGCGAAGTTTCCCCTTCTTGCCAAAATATTCATTTAGCCTTATTATTGGATCAAGACATAAATTTCAAGTATTACTCTAAAACGACCATCTAAGTCCCACATGCACATCTCTGTCTGGGGTGTACACCACCTCTTGCCCAATATCAGCTGGGATATGTTCCAGCTCCCTCTTTACCCACAAAAGGTAAGTAAATGTAGCTGGATGGACAATCTACCGACTAATATATAGAATAATTTAATGGTACACTCATTAATTAGACATACTTTAAGTGTATGAGTCAAAGTTTTCTGGTCTTGACCTCTGACTAAAAGGCCACAACCTAAGTCT